ACGCTATCTTTGGAAGAATTCCTGCAAATCCTGGGGAAAGGATGGGTTTGTCCTGCAGGAATTGCATCTGGTGCCTGGGCAGAATGGGCTGCTGTAGCTGTCATCTGCTTTTATCCCTTTGCTTCTGGACTTTCTGTGCCATTATCAGAGACCCTCCATTGATCTCTGGAAGATGAGCCACGTTGGTCCTTTCAGCATCTTCACAGGAGCAAGATCTTCTTCTTTTCCCTTTTCCTTCCTTTTTTCCCCCAGTCTCCAACTGTCCTTTGAGCTGCTTTTGCAGGTTTCCCTGTGGCCAAGGGCATCCCTGCAGTGCTGGCCTGCTTTGGGGGACGGAGATGGGAAAACACCCCTTGAACCAGTGCTGGGATGGACCCATCCGTGTTTTGGCCTCCCTTTGGCTCTCCTATGTATTTCAGCACAGGACTGGGAAGCAGCAGGGGCAGATGCTGGGAAAATCAATGCTGTGGAGGGCTCGAAAGGCAAATCCAGTGTTGGACGGGAGGCGTTGCTTTGCCTTCATTCCTCTTCCTAAAGCTTTTGGCTTCAGCGTTTTGATCTCCCCCTCGCAGCCGCGGTTGGGTTTATTTAAGCTGACAGCGTGCTGGGAGCACACAAGGCTTTGCAAGGTGGAGGTTTAAGGAAGGACAGCTGAATGTCCTCACCTCCGAGAGGAGCGGTTGTGGTGGGGCTGACTTTGAGCGGGGAGGCAACTAAAAAGGGATGCAATCAAAGCACAGTAAAAATAGCAAACGGCTGGAGGAAGTGGCAGTGAGGAGTCCAAGTGGCTTTAAGCACACAGGGAGAAATAAGGGGCGATGTGGAAGCGATGGGAAAGGGAGGATGCTCCGAACCCTGCTGCTTCCAGTGCAAAGTGTTTAGGAATAGGGAAAAGGCTAAAAAACCCCTGAAACAAAGACTTGGGAGAGAGAGCAGCTCTCGTGCCCATTCCCCCAAAGCTCCTGGAGCTGTGGATGCAGCACCCCCAGATTCCTTGGTTTGTGACATCTCCCAGCTCAGATTCCTCTTCCTTCCCCCCGTTGCACAAAGCCAGCTCTGCTCCCTCACCCGGCGCTCCAATTGAAAGCAATTTACTTGGAGCCGGGTTTGAATTACTCAGCACAGAGTTAACCAGCACCTGCTCGGAGTTAATTAGCGAGTGTGTTAATTGCTGCCGTAGTCATAGGCGTGTGAGCATGAGGGGAGGGGGGGGAGCGGAGGGCAGAGGGAGGGATGCGGGTGCTAATGGGCTGCCTCCATCCTTGCTTCCCTGGGGCGATGCTGAATTTCACAGACTGGCTTGGGATGAAGGGACCTTAAAGCTCATCCAGCTCCATGGGCAGGGACCCCTTCCACTGGAGCAGGATGCTCCAAGCCCCTGTGTCCAACCTGGCCTTGAGCACTGCCGGGGATGGGGCATCCACAGCTTCTCTGGGCACCCTGTGCCAGCCCCTCAGCACCCTCACAGGGAAGAGCTTCTGCCTAAGAGCTCAGCTCAATCTCCCCTCATTCAATTTAAAGCCATTCCCTTGTCCTGTCCCTGCAGACCCTTGTCAAAAGTCCCTGTGCTGCCGGTGGTGCAGCAGCCGAGATGCTCGGTGGTTGCGTGGAGATGGTCACCATGGAGACGGGTACCACTGGGTATAGTGGCAGCATGGAGGGGAGGCTGTGGGTGCCTGGCTTGGCCCTGTCCGGTCTTGTGATGTTTGAGCCATCCCAAGCGTGGTTCAGGACCGCATTGAGTCACATTTTGGCCAAGTCAATCTGCCTTAAAGGACTGCAGAGATTCCCTGGTGTCTTTTAGTGTCACTCAGGCCCTGTGTGTGGGAATGGACAACCCCAAGCACAAACACAGCCTGGGTGGAGAATGGATGGAGCCCTGAGGAGAAGGACATAGGGGTGTTGGTTGATGAGAAACTCCCCATGACCTGTGTGCTGTGCTGCACCCCCAGAGCATGAGCAGCAGGTTGAGGAAGGATGCTGTGCTCTGGTATGGTAATGGAGCTATTTGCTGATGGGAGCTCTGGAGGCTCTTGTCCTGGTGCTTGGTGTAGAGTGGCTGCTTCTGGGCTGGACCAGAGCATGCAGTGGCAGTGCATGGGTGCTGGGCAGGAGGTTCTCCAGGGTTCTTGGGCTCACTGGTGCTGATCAGAAACCCAAGCCTGTGGTGGGGCTTTCTGAAACAGCCACCTGGGCAGGAAACGTGAACATGAGTGCCTTGAAAAACGTGGTGTGGGGAGAAAAACACCCTAAAAGCACAGGAACCCACCGCAGAACTCCAACAGTGGGACCATGAAGAGGAAAAGAGGGAGTTTGAAACCCCAGCTGTGCTTTCCTCCATCCCTCCTTTTCATCCCATCCATGGACCACGCTCGCTGTGGGTGTTTTCCTTCCTGCGCAGGGGAGAGGGATGGAGAGCATCAAGGGGCCAGCTCCTTTCTCCCCATGGTGTCAAGCCAAGTGTTGCCAAGTCCCCCTTTTCCTGCAGAGGACTTTATCCATCAGCATGAGCAAAGCCTGAGGCTGGGACAAGGGTCCCCATCCAAGCAGCAGGATGAGGACCCGTGAGGAGCGTGGTCTGGTGGTTGAAAAAGGTGTTTTGTACGGAAACACCTGGGTTTATTTGTGGCACAGGGAGGGGAAGGTGCTTTCAGTGCCACCAGTCCCACGTAAGGAGCACCAGGTTGTGTGAAGCTTGGGGCAGGGATGCACAGCGCTGGGATTTTCTCCTTTCCCTCTTTTGGCCACGAGAGCGTCCTGTGAAGAAGTCCCACAACCAAACGGTGTTAAAATATGTTCCCTTTCACTCGGTTTAAATTGACTGCCCGTTGTTCTGCAGTGTTTATTGCTGCTTCTGGAGAGTTCCTCTCTGGTTTGGACAGTCAATCCGCCGTCTTTTCAGAGGGTTTCTCTGTCCAAGAGCTGCAGCACAAGGAAAGAATTAAGCATCTTGCCTCGGGGCCGGATGTGGAGCTGTTGCTGCTTCCCACTGCTGCCCGTGGTTTTGAGATGGGGAAGGTGAATACTCTGCAGCCAGTTTAAAGAAAGAGCAACTCCAAAGGGAAAAGCTGCAAAGCAAACGGGGCAGAAAGTTCCTCCTATTGCCAAGTGTTCTCCATGCATGTGGAAGCCTCGCCTCACCTCATCCTCTCTCCCTCGTGGGCTCATGGTGGTGGATAAGCCAAGTGGACACCCTGGATGGATGAAACAGGAATCCTTGTTTTCCTTTGATCTCTTCCTGTATCATCGACCTTTGAGGGATGTTCTTGTGGCAGCCCGGTGCCTTCATCCCCTGCTCACTGGTGCCAGGCTCAGCAGTGATGCTCTAGGACCAGTGATGCTCTGGAATCGGCGGTACTCTGGGACCAGTGATGCTCTGGGACCAGTGATGCTCTGGGACCAATGATGCTCTAGGATCGGTGATGCTCTAGGATCGGTGATGCTCTAGGATTTTGCTGCCCTTTTTCTCTCTGGTCTCCTTCCTGGGCTCCCCATAATTCATCTTCCCTAGAAGGCAAATTATGGATATCAAGGAGGGGAGAAGTCTCCCCATTTGCCTCTTGGCTGCTGAACCAGCAATGAAACCATAGAACCTGGTGCACAATGAATAATTTTCCCCCAAAAAGAAGCAGAAAACAAGATTAAGTGACTCAGATGACTCAGTGAACCCCCAAAACACAAGTGTGGGAGTGAGACCATCAGGGCTTATTTGCTGTCCCAGCATGGTCCTGTGAGGAGGCGAAGGATGGGGTCAAGGTCTCTGTGGGGCTCCATGCTCTGGGGTGGGAGAGGAGCAGGAGGAGCTGGGATGCAGATGCTGCAGGTGAATTTGGGATGATGGGAAGAGGAGAAAAAGCCTTTTTTCCCTATGCTTTTGGTAACGACTGAGAGCTGGGGACTGCCAAGTGGAGGAAGATAGGAAGCTATTTTGGGACTGGCTTTTCCCTCTGCCTGTGTCTTGGCATGGGTCACCCTCGCCTTAAATACAGTGTTATCGCTGCCCTTATCCAGCCACTCAAAGGGAGAACCAGGAGGAAAACATCCCTATGGAAGAATGAACTGGTGGGTTTCCCTTTTATCCCCCTTGCATCCAGGGATGCGAGTACTGGGGAATGCTGAGCCCCTGCGAGATCATGGAATAAGCAGCATGCCCATAAGAAGTAGGTTTCTGTGCCTGATTTTATATATATATATATTAAAAGTAGTCAAATAAAGACTTCTTAAAATTCCCTATTGAAGATTAATGCAGGAATTGGAGACGGATTTAAATTGCCCAAGTTAATCACCAGCCGCTCGGCTGCTGCTGACTTTATTAAGGGGAATAAAAAAGCCTGGAGTGTCACAGAGGGATAATGATTCACGGGCTTGGTGCTGCCGTCTCCTCCTCCTCGATGAGCATCGCTGTGTCCAGCCCACACGTGTCCTGCAGCGCGGGCGGTTTTGGGCTCCATCCTTGGGGTGAATTGGGACCAGGTTGGATAAATGGAGCCGGGATGCAGCTGCCCCAATTCCAAGCACAGACACAGGCTGGGGGAGGCTGGATGGAGCAGACCTGAGGAGAAGGACTTGGGGGTGTTGGGTGAGAGGCTCTCCATGAGCTGGCTTCAATGGGGACAGGCCAAGGGGAATGGTTTTAACCTGAAGCAGGGGATGAGCTCTTAGGGAGAAGCTCTTCCCTGTGAGGGTGCTGAGGAAGCTGTGGCTGCCCCATCCCTGGCAGTGCTCAAGGCCAGGTTGGACACAGGGGCTTGGAGCATCCTGCTCCAGTGGAAGGGGTCCCTGCTCCTGGAACTGGATGGGCTTTAAGGCCCCTTCAACCCAAAGCAGTTTGGGATTCTCTGAGTCTATGAAACCCCTCCTGGCCGCAAGCTGGGCAGGAGGATGGAGCAGAGACTCCCGTGGGCTGGAGGGTTGGAGCGATGCTGGGGACAGGGAGGGTGCTGGATCCTGGCTGGGGTTTGGGACCAGAGGGTCTCACTCTTGTCTCTGTCCTCACACAGGTCCCTGAGCAGCCGCTGAGAGCTCAGCCCCGCAGGACCCAGCCGTGCCGGAGGGTACCATGAACTGAGCACGCAGCCCCCCGACACAGCCTTGTTTGGGGGTTGGTTTTCCTATTGACCCCAAAGCATCCCGCAGCCGTTCATGACAGCGTTTTAACAGGGGCTTCCTCTTCCCCTCCCCTGGAGCGAAGTCGTCCCGGCTACGGTGAGGATTTCCAGAGAAGATGGGGAGGAAAAAGATCCAGATCCAGCGGATCACGGACGAGCGCAACCGGCAGGTCAGTGCCTTCGCTGCCCCTTCCACTCCCTCCTCACCCGCTCTGCTCTTGGGGATTGGAAGGGTTCTGCTTCAAAATGACCCCTTTGAGCCCAACCGATGCCTTTTGCTTCGTGCCTAACCCATAAAACAAAGCAGAAACCCGGCCTCGGGGCCACATCCACGTGGATCCCAGCACCGCTTCTGCCTTACCCGGGTGTTGCTCCTCATGCTGGAGCTCCTCACGCCGTTTCCATCTAAGCTCTTTTCCAGAAGGAGGTCTCTTCTCCGCTCCGCTCCCTTTTCTCTTGTGTGTCTTGCACAAAATCTCTTTCAGTTGACATTTTCCATGAGGTTTTTCCAATGAAAAGCAGCCGCAACGCGTCTCCATTTTTTTTTGGGATGCAAACAGCCTCAATTATTCTGCTTTTTTTTCCTTGTTTTTCTCAATTAAAAACTCGGATGGATCCAGGGGTTCGTTTTCCCCTTGGGCTCCCTCGAAGCCAAGCCTTAGACACACACAGGTAGAGATGCCCGTGTGTATCTCAGTGAACACAGAGCAGAACCAGAGTTCTCCCTAATGCTCATGTTCTTGGGCAGCCCCAGCTGGGTGGCAGCATTTGGCCACACCACGTTGGCTCTGGGGTGACTCCACTGCTCTATTTTGCCATAACCACAAGACTTCCAGGCGGATCCCTTTGCTCCGTGGCTTCCTGTGGTCCTTGAGTCAGGCTCAGCCCATCCAAACCTGTGCCTCCACTGACGATGCCCCAGTTTGGGCTGCCCCATTTGTTCTCCTGCTTTTATTCCCAAAACCAGGGTTGTTTTCTATATCCTAATGCTTCAAAAGGGGCAAATGCCAGCATTGGGTGAGCTGCTTTATTGCTCCACAGCAAAACAAGAGGAGATCGCAGGTTTTCTTCATTAGGGCTGGGGGATGCGATGGGCATAAAGTGCTTTTGGTAATCTCCCGGTTGCTCATGGCACTGCTTAGTCCCATAATTAGAAGGGAATGGGGTTAGGGACAAAGCTGGAGTGTGTTTTATGGGGCAGCACTGGCGAGCCTTGCACAGGGGGGAGAGGGATTTGCAGCTCTTGGAGCCCCAGTTCAGGTGAGCAGAAAGTAGCTGGTAATGCTGGGGGTTGATGGCACATCCGAGTCCTGTTGTAGGAGCCTCAGGAAGGCCTGGCCAGGGATGGGGCAGGACTGAAGGACACTCAGGAGCAAAGGGTGATCAGGAGCAAAGTGAAGCTCTTCCCATGCATCCTGCATCCAACCTTCAGCATGAGCGAGTCCAGCCCTGCTTTCACCCTGCGCCTTGCCTCCCGTGGGTGCATGGACCATGAACGCACACAGAGGAGAGCAGGATGACAGCAGAAGCCAGAACCAGGGGAGGAGAGCAAGTAAGAGTCGCTAATGTCATTAAAGGACTTAGTGGAGAGGATTTGCCATAACAGATCAGAGCATCAGGCCGTCAGGGCCAGCCTGCTGACTCTGGCAGCCACCAATATGGTCTACATCAGGGAAAAGGCAAAAATCCCCTGCTAGTGTGGGGCAGTAATTCCTTCCTGACCCCTTTGGTGATCAGCTTATGCTGTGGAGCATGAGATTTGATTACCCTCTTAGACTTAGAAGGTTAATTCTTCTAGATGAGACTCATGCACGGCGGTAGGGGAAGGTTTGGGGTTTCTGTCCCAGGTCACAGGGAGATGTGCAAGGCAGCGCTGGCTGATCCTTGTGTGTGTTGGGGCTGACTAAATGGCAAGGCTTTGCTTTTCTCTGGGGTACCAAGGGAAAAGGATGTTCCTCCACCTTGTCCCTACCTGCAGAGGGAATAACCCCTTGTCCATAGAGGGATGCTTCGGTGCTTTGGGTTCTGCTTGGCTCGGCTCAGGTTGTTCGTTGATTTTGGGCAGGTAACCCCACGCTCTCCTTCATTGCTCAAGGAGGACAAAGAGGTGGTAAATGCTCCATCCCTGGCAGTGTTCAAGGCCAGGTTGGACACAGCCTTGGGTGACATGGTTTAGTGTGAGGTGTCCATGCCCATGGCAAGGGGTTGGAAATGGGTGATTTTAAGGTCCTTTCCAACCCAAACCATTCTATGAGTCTATGACAATACCCAAACCATGTCTGTAGTCTTCATGGCCAATACTTGCCCCTTTGCTCACAGGCTGTGGCCTCATCCACTTGCCTCTCCCAAGGAACAAGGGATGGGACAAGAGGAAACGGCCTCAAGCTGCACCAAGGGATGTTTAGATGGAGTTGAGGAGCAGTTCCTTCCCCATTGGAACAGGCTGCCCAGGCCAGTGCTGGAGTCACCGTCCCTGCAAGTGTAGACAAGGCCCTCAGTGCCATGGGTTAGTGGTGGCCTTGGCAGTGCTGGGCAATGGTTGGACTGGATGAGCTGAAAGGGCTTTTCCAACCCGGTTGATTCCATGATCTTGGTGGTCTCAGGGTGCCCAGCAAGGTGGGTCCCCAGCACTGGGCACTGCTGGAACCACCACCCTCAGCTTTTCCCTTGGTCCTGATGACACCACTGTGTTTTCCTCTCAGTCCTGGGAGCATCCCAGCATCCCAGGAGGGATTTGGGGTGGCTGAGAGGTCCTGGATGCCACTGAGAGCGGGCGCACGTGGCACGCGGGGCCAGCCCTGCACTTCCCAAGGGATGAGGAGATTAGAGCCCAATCTCGTTACTGCTTAATCACCTCTGGATGATGGTGGGGCAGGACAGGCCGTTGTGTGCCCCTGCTCTGCCCTCCCGCTGCACAGAGGGATGCGGCTGCTGCTTGAGGGATGCTCGGAGCTGGGTGCAGCGGGGATGCTGCTGGGTACCACCGGTGGGGATGGGGATGCTCCAGGTGAAGCTCTTCATGGTGTTACAGCTTGTCCAGGCTTGAGTTGAGTGAAAGCAATGGACTCTCCTCTCTCAACACTGCAAATTAAACTTGTTCAGCTGCAAAATCAATGCTGTGGTGGAGGCCCAAAGTGGGGTCAAGCCCTCCCATGCATGGCAAGGGAGCAGCCTGTGGCACTGAAGGGCATCTTGGTTTCATCTCCAGCCCTTGCCCAGGCTGCTGCCTCAACCTGAGAGCGATGCCTAAAGCAAAGCACTGGCTCCTGCCTTCATTTTCCTTTCTTTCATTTGCTAAGAGGGTATTGGCCAAGTGGGTGCCTTTGTTCCTTGCGGGGGCTGAGGGACCTTCAGTGGCCACGGTGGAGAGCCCAAACCAGCTCCTTTCCCACCAGCTGGGTCCTGTTAGGAGCCTTGGCTGGGAAACGCAGCCCAGCATCTGTCTGGCATCTGGGGAGTGTTTTGGAGCCTGCACCCAGCTCTGTCCTCATCCCCCAGCCAGCTCGCAAGGATCTGGGTTCTGCTGTCCCCAGCATCAGAAGGACATGGAGCTGTTGGAGCAAGTCCAGAGGAGGCCACGAGGATGAGCAGGGGCTGGAGCCAGGCTGAGAACATTGGGGCTGTTCAGCCTGGAGAAGAGAAGCTGCGTGGAGACCTCAGAGCAGCTTCCAGTGTCTGAAAGGGGCTACAAGGATGCTGGAAAGGGGCTTTTCATTAGGGGCTGTAGTGCCAGGACAAGGGGTGATGGGTTCAAACTGAAACAGGGAAGGTGGAGGTTGGATCTAAGGCAGAAGCTCTTCCCTGTGAGGGTGCTGAGGCGCTGGCACAGGGTGCCCAGAGAAGCTGTGGCTGCCCCATCCCTGGCAGTGCTCAAGGCCAGGTTGGACACAGGGGCTTGGAGCATCCTGCTCTAGTGCAAGGGGTCCCTGCCCATGGGGCTGGATGAGCTTTAAGGTCCCTTCAACCCAACCCATTCCATGACTATCATCAGGCTGGCTGAAGATGCCTCATTAGCTGACAGCTCTAATGACAACGGGTCAGGGCTGGGGTGGGATGGAGCAGCTTTGGGGTGGCCGAGCCCCCAGCTGCTGTCACACAGGGTTGGGTGCTCACAGCACTGCTGCAATGAGCGAGGATGAGCTCTCCAGTGCTTGAATGTTCAACTTGATGAGCACCCAGCACCGCGCAGGCCCCAGACAGATGGCAGCTCTGCTTGTTGGGTGTGGGGGGGCTGAGATTCATTTGCTCTTGATTTGGCAAGATGGGATCATTTCCAAGGCTGGTAATCATCTCTGTGCTTGGGAAGTGTCTGCCTTTGGAGGAGCCTGAAATAGGCAGCAATAGGAACTGGTTGGAAGAGGGAGGTGGGAGAGGAGAGCTTGGGGTGTGTGGTCCAGTTGGGCAAGCAGAGGAGAGAAGATTCCCTCTGCCCTCCTCTTCCTTTTGTTCTTCCTCCAGTGGCCACCCCGGTTTTCTCCGGGTGGTTTGGGGTCTGTGGCTGCATGGGGACGGCTCCTGACCGTGGTCCTTGCTTTCAGGTGACCTTCACCAAGCGCAAGTTCGGTTTGATGAAGAAAGCCTACGAGCTGAGCGTCCTGTGCGACTGCGAGATCGCCCTCATCATCTTCAACCACTCCAACAAGCTGTTCCAGTATGCCAGCACCGACATGGACAAGGTGCTGCTCAAGTACACCGAGTACAACGAGCCCCACGAGAGCCGGACCAACGCGGACATCATCGAGGTGAGGTCACCCGTCCATGTCCGGGTCTGGCACCGCAGCCCCATGGATGCAGGAGGTCGGTGCTGGGTGGGGATGGGAGCAAGCAGATCTCCAGGACTTGATGCCAAACTGGTTTGGCATGGTTTTGGTCCAGCCTATGAAAGGACTTGGGTCTGGGTAGTAGAGTTTGAAGCTGTCTCGAGTGATGTGTTGAGGTTTTTTGGGATACTGCATTGTGGGACTTCCCTGTGGTCCAGGCAAACCATGGAGTTCAGGAGGCATCTCCCAGGGTTGCTGTAATGGGGTGCAATGGTGATGTTGCCCCTGTCTGTTGTTTCAGAGACTCATGGTGGGGTTGTAGGAGGGCACCACGAAGTCATTCAGGTTGGGAGGCACCTTTGGGTGCCTGTGGTCCGACCTGCTCGAAGCGCTGCCACTCTCTTGTGTAGATGGGGTTGCTCAATCTTGTCCAGCTGCGATTGGGGGTCTCCTGAGTCCAATCTGATCAGCCGTTGGCTGGCTGGTCACTGGCGTTCCAGGGGGGCATAAATCAACCCCAATGGAGTGGAGCAGTACAGCCCCACAGAGAGCCCTGCATGGAGCTCACATAGCACAAGGCTTCATGTCAAAGCGCTGCTGGAGGCATCGGCTTCTCCTGCCACTCAGCCTTGGAATCCCTTTGGTGCAGCTCTGGCAGCACATTCAGGCCTTGATTTCATGAAGAAGGAAAAACCAAACAACTTCCTTCCTAGATCCTGCTTTTCCTTGTGTTTTCTCCCTGAAATGTCTCTTTTTGAGAGGTTTGGAGTCAGGTTTTCACCTTGTTGGTTCCCCCCAGCATGGCCATGGCCAAGCATCCTGCAGCTCCTGCCTGCCCTCACGGGGGTTTGGCTCCTTGTCCACCAGTGCCCAGTTGTGGAGGGGCCATAGGAATGGTTCTGAATTGCCCCTTTTTGGCCAATTTGAGCCAGGTGATGCCCATCCCCTGTGCCCATGCTGGGGTCGTTCCGGCACCGCTCCCTGCCTGCTCCTCAGCGCCGCCTCATCCGGGATGCTCCGACCGCGGCGCTCGCGGCGTCGAACAGATTTGTCTTGGCCTAAAAATACCGTAAACATTTTGGGCAGCGTTCGCTGTTCCCTTATGGTCCAAGCTGCAAACACTCCCAAGCCGACAAGTTACACACAGTCCTTGGCACCCAAAGACAGAACTGTGTTTGCACCACATGAAAAGCTGGAGCCGCATCCAAAGGCGAGGAGAGAAACGTCGGCAGCGGAAGGATATTGGTGGATGGCAAGGCAAAGAGCCCAAACACGCCGGGCTCAGCATGTCTTGTTGGAAGAGCCGCCCTGGAGCGAAACCCACTGGGATGGAGGCAGGTTTTGAGGCTGCTCAAGCATCCCCCCTTGTCCTCATCTCGTCTTGGAGCAGGGTTTGGGGTGCTCAGAGCATTCCTGCTCCTGGTGCTGGTTTCAATCACCCCCCCCCTCCAGCCATGTCCCCTTGCCCCTACCAGCCTGGCATTGTCCCCACCACACACAGGCCCAGTTTATCTCATGTTTCTCAGTGACTCCCAGTTGAACTTGACTCCTCCAAGTGCATCTTTGCATCCTTGATGCTTCCCCAGCAACAAGGTAGGGCTGCCCCATCCTGCTCAAGGCCAGGTTGGATGGGGCTTGGAGTACCCTGCTCTAGTGGAAGGGGTCCCTGCCCGTGGAACTGGATGAGCTTTAAGGTCCCCTTCAACCCAAACCAGTCCGGTTCTCTTCTATAACTCTATGGCATCCCCTGTGGGGACTCCTCCGCATCAGTGGGATTGAGCCACGCAAACCCCTGCGGCTCTCTCCCTGCCTGGCAGAGTCCCGGCCGTTGGAAGCTTTTAAGTCAGAGCAAATCTCTCTTAATGCAGAGAGGGGGGTTCCCTTAATCAGGCGGGGGACAGCTGAGGCCCCCAGGCAGGCACGCTGGGGGCCACGTGCCGGGATCACGCCGGCTTTGCTCCTCGCTGTCGCTTCTCGTTTCCGCGCAGCCCGCCTGACGTGCCAGTGTGTGATAAGGGGCTTGGATGAGAACAGGGCAAGGGGATGCTCCAGAGCCACTTCAAGCCACGCAGCAGAGCCTCTCCTTGCTTTCCTTGGCTGAATGTCACGGGGAGGGCTGAGATCTCCCTCATTCCCAGGGCTGGCATCGCCTCAGAGGGCATCGCAGAGGATGCTGCAAAGGCAGCTGCCGGTGCCGTGTTCTCATCCTCATCCTTATCCACTTCCCCACAGCCTGGCGTGGTGGAGTCCCCTCCTCGAAGGGAAGTCAGCCGCATCCTGGTTGAGCATCGTTTCCTCTCACATGTTCTGCATTTCCTGCTGCTCTCCCCCCCTCTTCGGGTTAGGAGTCTGTTCCCATATGAGCTGGGATCATGGGAGTGGGAACATTGCTTGGAAGAGCGGATCCTGCCATGGGGGGCACACCCAATAGAATGGGGGGGCCTGGGGGTGGCAGGGAGATGGAAGGTGATGGAGTTTCTTTGCCATGTGAGGTTCTCACCCTGGTTTCCCTTGGAAGCCTTATGCTGTGAAGGGATTGGTTTTAGCTCTGTTTTCTATGGGAAGAGAGTGCTGTTCCTCGGGGTGCAACCAAGAGGTTTCGTGCCTCTGTGCAGCTCCAGCTTTTCCCCTGGAAAAGGGAATGAGGAGGAATGAGAAGGAAGGCTCTTTTCCAAAAGACCTTGCAGAGATCCTGAAAACGGGAACGGTTGGGGTTGATTCCTGCTCCAGCCGGATGGTTTTCCTTTTACATCATCTTGTCAGGGAGCAGAAAATGTGGGACACACATTATTTTATCCCAAAAAAATGAACACCCCAGCAGCTCACATGGCTGGAAATGGCATTTTGTTGTCCCAAAGCTCCTTTGGAGCAGCACATTCTGCTTTGGCTCGTGACCTGCTGTGACTTGGGCCCCGGTGCTTCCTGTCCCAGCACACTGCAGATCATCCTCGGCTGTGCCAGCTCTGGAGCCCATCTCCATTCCCTTCCTCCCCTCCATGCCTGCAGGCAGCTGCCTGTAGCATCCAGGAGGGATTTTTCTCCCCATGCACAATTGGCTTCATGTTTCCTGGGGCTGCTGCTGGGTTTTCAATGGGGTGGTGGCATCGCAGCCGCTTGTCCCAGCTTGGGATGCTCTGATCTGAACTTGGTGGTGGGGGTCCGACCCAAAGACAATGAAGTTATAACTAAGGTTATGAAGTCTGTGACCAGGGACAGGGACTGAGTATTAGGTGACAGGAATTATATTAGTAGCACCAAACAGGGCTTCAGATGCCACCGTGGTCAAGAGTGAGCCAGCCCCTTCGCTGGTGGAGCTGGATGTGGATGAGGACTTCTCCCCACTGCTCATCTCTAAGTAGTGAGTGTTCAACTGATGATGGTGAAGGAGTCAGTTTAACTGGGAATAGGGTGAAAAGCTCCAGCTGGAGGATGGGTTCGGTGCCTGTTGCTTGACCAGTATCAAGTGGCCACCAAGCAGGACCAGTGGGAAAAGGCAGAGCCGTTTGGTTCCCATCAGAGAGCCATGGAATGGTTTGGATTGGAAGGGAGCTTAAAGCTCCTCCAGTCCCAACCCCCTGCTATGGGCAAGGCCACCTTCCATTAGAGCAGGTTGCTCCAGGCCCCATCCAACCTGGCCTTGATGTTTATTACAGTTTAGGAAGACAAGAGGAGAATCGTCAAGGCTCCCTGCTTTTCTCTTTCCTCCTGCTGAATTTGGCATGAAAAGAGATGAAGACTTCCAGGAAATTCTGTAGCTTTGACTTCTAAATAAAACCCCCCTGAATTGGCAAGTGATGGATCCGTAATAGCATCTAATTGCTTTTGGTATTTTGAAAATAGAGTGATTAAACGTGCATGTGTAACACAATCTGCAGATTGGCTACTGCGCTCGCAAGAGGAACTTTTGGGGCTTCCACCGTGTGTGTGATTAGCAGGCTCCTGTTAACGAAGGAGATGTCACATCAGTAGCTCTCTGCCCCTTTGCTGCTCATGCAGCCGGGGCTTGCTGCCCCAGGTGTTGTCACCATCACCCTCCTGTATCACCCGTGCCATGCTCTTGATGCGATGCTCTTGATGCTGTACCCATTGCGCATGGGAAGTGCCCCCCATTAGAACCCAGCTGGGTTTTTTGCCAGGACAAGCTGCTGTTTGCGTGTTGTTTTGGTCCTTATTTTGCTATTTGGAGGAAGGTTTTTCCCTGTTTTTAGCAGGAGAGCAGGTATCATTAAAGTTTATTTCCCCTCCTTGTCATTGTAGCAACTGTAGGTGATGGATGCGCCTGAGCAGGTACGGGTCCAAATTCAGCTCTGGCATGAGCAGATCCTTTGAAAGCAAAGAAGTTTCTCCCCATCCATCCATCCATCCATCCATCCATCCATCCATCCATCCCTCCCCATGTTGTCATTCCTGACTTAGGGACAGCCTGGTGTCAAAACCTCACTCTTTAACTCCACGAAGGTCAACGATGCCTTGGGGTGAATTTGCACAAGGGCAAAGCCATCCTCTTTCTGGTCCCGGGGCTGTTCTGGGGGGGACCTGCCCGTCTCGGGCACCTTCCCGTGTTCCCCATCCCCACTCCCAGACCTCAAACTGTCCCGGTTGTGTTTGCAGACATTAAGAAAGAAAGGTTTTAACGGCTGTGACAGCCCGGAGCCCGACGGCGATGACTCCATAGACCAGAGCCCCTTGATGGAGGATAAATACCGTAAAGGCAGCGAGGATCTGGATATCCTGTTCAAGCGCTATGGTGTAAGTACCGGGCCCCCTTGGCTGGAAAACCTTCATTATATGTTCTTCTTTTGTTTTGTTCTCCTTCTGTTCCATTTCCCCTCCCCGACACCCCCCCTTCCGTGTCCTGTGTCCCTCCCATCCCCAAACGTCACAGGCGCTGAACAAGAAGCACAGGGAATGCGAGAGCCCGGAAGGGGATGAAGTGTTTGCTCTGACCCCGCAGACCGAAGAGAAGTATAAAAAGATTGATGAGGAGTTTGATAAAATGATGCAGAGTTACCGGCTCGCAGTGAGTAGCTGGTGGTCTGCAGCCCCCCCTCCTTTCCCTTCCAAGTGATGGAGGGGCCTGCCTTGTGCATGGCTTTGCTTCGGAGCCGTGCTGTGCCTTGGGAGCCGATGCGTGCAGCCCACCACCCTAGGGGTGAGAGGCATGAGGGGCCCTAGGGATCCCTCCTGTTTCCCACCTGGAGGAGCAGGAACATCCTTTGGGAAAGCCGTTCCCATTAGCTCCAGCATCCCTGAGCCTCTGTGGCTCCAGCTTGGCAGTGAAGGAGGATGTTCTCCCCATCTTTGCTGCAAATACTGGATTAAGGCCTCCTTTTCCACCCTTTTTTCCCCCAAACCAGGTGGTTTTGGCCTGGATTAAGACTCCAGGTTCACACCATGCCACCCCCCCCCATCCCTGTGAGACTTTGGGCTCTTCCACATTAATTCCCCCCCAAATCCCCCGAGCCCTCGGGGCAGCTGGTGGCCGTGGCAGGAATCCAGGGAGGTTTTAGCCTGTGATCCCGGAGCCGGCACCGGGGTGGCATCAGGACAGTGCTGGAAGGGATTTGTGTCAGGAGACAGGAGGAGGAGGAGGGACACGCTTCAAATTAGTTGTTAGCTCAAGGGAGCAGAGGCTGCTGATGCAGGGGAGGCTCCTTCAGAGGGATTAGCCCTGGGTTGCTGCAGCCAGAATTGATGCTGCCCGGAGCGGAGCAGAGCGGAGGCTCATTCCTAAGGGCTGGATGAAGCAGTGTCATAATGACACACACACAGACCCCATCCCCACCAGAAAATAACCCCCACGGGTTAAAACTCCATCTCCTCTTGAGAGGAGCCTTGTGGCGTGCACAGCTCTTCCTTGTGCTGACTCAGCAGGTGAGCTCCAGGAGCCTCCCAAGGCCCCCAGCATCTGCATCTCCATCCCCTGCATCTCAGAGGTGATGGGAGGTGGCTGCTCTGAGCCCTGGGAGAGCTGAGGAGGGGAAGCCAGATGGGATGCAGGCAGTGATGGATGCTCAAAGCTGTGCCCTCCAGGCTGGGTTTAGTGCAGGGTGAGCTCCTGCAAGGCTTGGCTCTGCCTTGGCCTCCCTGGTTTCACTACTGGGGAGCAGGTTTTAGCCCTGGTACCCCCCAGTACCTGACGCAAGCCCTGTCACTGGTGCAGAGTAGGTTAAGAAGTCATCAGAGGTTTAAGCTGGGTGTAGAATCACCTCAGAAAGCAGGGCCTGCTCAGCATCTGTGTGTGCCTGCTGCAAAGGGAGGGCTCCAAGCAGGCTCCCATCATTGGAGGCAGCATCCAGCTGTGCCCCAAAGGAACACTCCGTGCCCTAAAGTCATTTTGGCTGGTGGCTTTCAGGTGTCGTAGTCAGGGCGTAGCATCTGGCTCCCCACTAAACCCCCCTGTGCAGCGAAGGGACCGAGTGATGCAGTTGAAGAAGACGCTGCTTCCCTTATAACCAGCTGGGTTGGTTTTGTGTGTGACAAGAACTAACCAGCCTCAGCACCCGGGGAAGCTTAACAACAGCCTTGTTTGCTCCAGAGAGGCCTCGGCCTGGCTTCTGCGTTTGGTGTTTGAATTGCTTTGAGTGGGAACAGGAATCCTTGAGGTTTGGCTGCTGTGTGCATCTTCTGCCCCCCGGTTTGGATTGATGTGCAAGCTGCCTTCCCTAGCTGTGCCCTCCCTGGGGGTCTGGGGGGGACCTGGGGCCATGTTGCTGGTGGCCTGGGGTGTGCAATGAGATGAGAGAGAGATGGAAAGCAAACGTCCTCTCTGCAGGTGGGGTACCAGCCTCTTGGCTTTATCAAGGCGTTGTGTAAGGTGCGATGCACAAGGGGTAGCTTTTCCCTTCCTCTCCCTTGTGCACGAACACTGGTGAGTTGGCAGTGATGGAAACCTGTGGTTGGAAGGTGCCCCTGCCCGTGACAGGGGTTGGATGTGGATGATGTTAAAGCCGTTCCAACCCAACCCATGCTGGCACTCTGTGTGTGAGCCGTGATTTATCCCCGCTCCCGGTGTTCCTGCAGTGCCCAAGGCACCTTCCTCCTCCTGCCTCTGCAGCTCCCAGCAGGAGCAGAGCGATTCCAGCTCTCCCCAGCAGTGGGGAAAGGGCTGGGAAAGGGTCCCTGTGACCGCGGTGCCGCAGCGCAGGCTCAGAGCCGCCCTTCCCAGAGCTTGGCTGCAGGCACAGGATCTCTCTGAAGGACGGGATGCCCTTGAGAGGCTGGTGGGGAGGGTTCCCAGCAGCCAGGCGTGGGTAAGCACCGTCCCCCTCCTTCCTCCCCGCCTCCTCTCAGTCCCCAGAGGACAATCACCCACCTAGGAGCAGGTTTCTGGGGGGGCAAGGGGCCCCCATCATTGTGCAGTGGGGAGATGCTCGGCTCCCTCTACCCTCAGCTCTCCCAGCCCCAGGATGGTCCCATCCGGCCCTGGGCTGCTCTGCCCCTCCATCCCTGAGCAAATTAAAGTGGGACTTTAGCAAAGCCCCTGCTAAAGCCTCTAAGCAGGTGCCTGCTCCTGTTAACAAAGAGCACATCAGTGACATAAGACAGACGCTGGGATAATCGCAGGGAGTCTGGCTCCAGCAGGGCACCGGTAGGTGAAGCTGGTCCTCAACCCGCAGCCCAGGATAGGGCTTGAGCGATGCTCCTGCTTCCCAGGGTCAGCTCCTCCTTCCCAGCAGCTCCCAGAGGTGCCAGGATGAATCCCAGTGTCACCCTGGGGCCACTCAAGGCAAAATGAGCCTTTCCCAGCTGCATGTCCACTGGCAGCAGTGCCAGCCTGTGTCGGTGAGCCACTGCTGGCTCTTTGGGAGGGCTCTTCCCATCACAAAGGGGAGATTTAGGTTAGATATTAGGAATGGGATGTTAGGAAGCTCTTCCCTGTGAGGGTGCTGAGGCGCTGGCACAGGGTGTCCAGAGAAGCTGTGGCTGCCCCATCCCTGGAGGGATGCTCTGGTGCATCCCTGCGAGCTGCCAGCATGGGCAGGGTGCAAGCACAGCGGTGCAGGTCAGCAGTGACGTGGGGCTTTGAGGGGCTCCCCCCCTTTTCCAGCTGCTGTGATGCAGGATCAGGCCCCCTCTTGCTCAGAGCTTGCAATGCGAGGACCTTCCCCCCTGCTCCCCTTCACCACTGCTCTCTGCTCAGTCCGCAGTGCCGGCTCCCAACTTCGCCATGCCCGTGACGGTGCCGGTGACCAACCAGAGCACGCTGCAGTTCAGCAACCCCGGCAGCTCGCTGGTGACACAGTCCCTGGTGACCTCCTCACTGACAGACCCACGGCTCCTGTCGCCACAGCAGCCAGCGCTGCAGAGGAACACCGTGTCCCCAGGGCTGCCGCAGAGGCCGGCCAGTGCAGGTGAGTGATGCTGTGCCCCTTCGCACCCCTCCTTCCTCATCCTCGTTGCGGGAGCCTTGCAGCAGCGAGTGTGGAGCATCCCGGGATGCAGGAGACCCCCGCGGCCATGGGTCCAAGCCAAGGGTCTCAGTGCGAGCATCACCCCTCATTGAGAGGTGCTCCCCCCCCCGCCTACCCCAGGTCTTGTTGAGAGCTGGATCCCTGCAGGGCTCTGTTTTGAGGTTGGGAAGCACAAGGGGATGAGTCACCCGGCGCCGTTCCCAGGCTTGGGGGTGGCTGCCGGCATCCCATCGCCGGTGGCACTCCGGTGACATGGGACTGCTGCCTAAAAAGGGCTTTTTTGGAAGTGGGGCTGTGCTGGTTGCAGTTGGTCGCATGTGGATCCGGTGACAGATCGCAGGGAGCAGGCATTTCCAGCGGGGACCGGCCATGGGTGGCGGAGGGCAGGATGGGGAGAGGAGCAGCTCCTCACCCATCGCACCCTGCAGCAGCGGAGGCGGGGGGGACACGCACACGATTGTGGGACCACAGCCCTGCAGTGTGATCATGAATAAGAACAGCGTGCAGAAAGCCTCTGCCTGCTATTTCGGTTGTCACAGATGGGCTGGAGAAATCACAACGGGCTGCAAATGGCAGAGCCAGTGACTGCGACCGCCCGGACGTGGGGGTGCTGAGAGCTCAAAGGGGGCTCGCAAAGGGGCTTGGAGAAGTGGGAGAAAGGGTTTGGGGGTGCCCCCAGCAGCAGGTTGAGTGGGGTCAGAGCGGGCACAAAGAGATGCCAGGGCTGGGATGCAATAGGAGCAGTGGTTGGAGCTGGCTTGTTCGCTCGCTGCTCTCTCCCCATGGTCTCATGATGGATTGAAGCGCTCAGGTACCACGGTGAGCCCTCAGGCCTGATGGAGAGGGGTCTTCCTGCTCTAAGAAGAGCAGCCTGAGCAGCAGAGCCTTCCTTGGCTATGGAAAGCCGTAGCCCTGGGTCCCTGCCCTCTCACAGGCCCCTCTGCTGCAAAGAAAGAGGCTTGGTTGCAGTGCAGAATGCGCTGGAGGCTCCTCGTGTTTCCATCCCGCCGCTCATCTGAAGGGGGATCAGTTCGTGGTTGCGAGCGCAGAGGTGTTCCAAGTCCAACCATCTGCATCTCATTCATTCCCTGCCTGGGACACGGCCGAATCCTGCTCACAGGAGCCAGGGCCTTGCATGTTCGAGCTCTTTTTTTCCCTTCATTCTTTTCTTTACAGCAATGGGCTCGAGCGGAGCCGCGTTCCCAAAGCCAACGCAGCCTTGGGTCAGTACCCAGTGCCAAGGGGGTCTGCAGGGCTGGGAATGGGGCTGGCATCACTCACCCAAGGGGATGACCCCGCTTTGTGGTGATCACACAAAAGAAGGGTGCCTTGTTTTGGAGCCTTCCCCTGTTTCAAGCTGTAAAAGGCTTTAGGGACCCACAGCATCCCCAGTCCTGCTCCCATGTGGGCAGCAAGCACGTTTCCCTGCATGGAAGCGGCTCAGCCATCCTGGGAGCTCAAACCGAGAGCATGGGACAGGGAGAAAGGTTTGTGGCTCAGGTTTCCCCATCTGGCCTGAGAAGGGCTGGGCAGGGGTTAATGGAGGGGTTTGGGATCCGAGGCTCTTCATTCCCCTGCCCAGGGCTCCGGGATGACTGCGGTTGCAGCTCCGGTGCTGGAAAATCACTGCCTGCAGCGTGGCCAAGGCACCGTTGGGCTGTCAATGGGTGCCTTTGAGGAAGAGCTCACCAACAGGGCTGCAAAGCAGGAAAAGAGGAGAGGCAAAACGTTCAGTTTCTTGGGCTAAGAAGGGCTCTGGAACGGTTCTTCCCGGCACAGCAGGGAGCGGCGGCGCTTTCCAAGCGCTGGGACCACGGGAGGCCGAGCTGCAGCCACGTCCTGGCAGCACGGGGATGGTTTCCATTCGGTGTGAACATTACAGGGGAGGTTGTGTTTCACGCCTTGCTGCTGGGGCTCTCTTCTCCAGCAGCACCAGCCCCCCGTGTCCCCCCAAAGCGGGGCTTGGAATGGAATAGAATAGGCGCAGTGTTTTCCAAGCTGCCTCCTTTGGAGCAGGCTCCTGTGCTGCCTGGCTCCTTCCCAAAGGAAATGGATATGCCTGGGTAATGTTTCCCAACCTGATCACCAGGAATGCTGCTCATTTTGCCCAGGGCTTTCTCCCTGAGAAGGCAGCGCTGCTCGTTTTCCCCTGCGTCCCGCTCTCCCTCCCTCCCCAAAGGAGGGATGCTCACCCTGTTCCCGAGCGGATGGTGATCTCATGTTTCCTATTGCTTTGCAGGGGCGATGCTCGGGGGAGACCTGAACAACACGAATGGAGCCTGCCCGAGCCCTGTGGGTAAGTGAAGAGCCAGCATCACCTTTGGGCCAGTGCCCTTGGCTCGGTTTGCCCCTCCTTGCCTCAGTTTCCCCATGTGGAGCGTAGGGTTTTGCTTTGCCATTCGGCACTATTGGTCGATGGAGAAGTGCTAAGGGCAGATTCTGGTGTGTGGACCTCCTTCATGTACCAAAACCATCAGCATCTTCACTGGGGCTGCTGGGCTCAGTAGGGACCCCATGAGCATCTCCCCTGGCTCTTTGGGAGAGCTGCAAACCAAGGGGCTGATGGAGGACCATGATTTGAGCAGCTCCGGGTTTAGCTCCCCGTTCCTCCCCTTGACCTCTTGTGAGTCACTTAACACCCGATTCCTCCTTGTGCTCGGGCCCTATAAAGGTCTTTTACTGCAAGGAACAAAGCTCATTAAGGTCCTTTCCACTGCGAGAGCCCCGGTGCTAACGAGGCTCAGGCTTGGTGGCTTAGCTCCCTGGCTATAAAGTGCTCTAATAATACCTCCTACCCCTGCTCTGCCTCCGCTCCGCCGGCTGCAGGGCGAGCGCTTTGGGGCCAGCTCTTGCGTCGGTGCCTCCCGAACGCCAGCACCAGCCCCTGGATCCTGCTGGGAAGCAGCTGCAGCTCCCAGCACCACTGCGGGCCAGGGCTTAGAGTGGGTGCCGACCATCGCGGTGAGGTGGAGGGGGAAGGCAGCCCTGCACCAATGGCCTGGCTCAGCCCCCCTGCTCTTTGCGGTGGGGCTCTGGCATGGAGGAGGAGGGTGAGGTTCAGCTTTGCCCCCAGTTCAAACCACACCGGAGCCCAAGTCCCACTGGATGGAACTGGGCCAGGCGCGGTTCCGCAGCACCACGGTGGCACCGCAGCCTGACCTTTACCCCGTGCATGCAGCAGCCGTGTGAGCACGGGGGGGGGGGGTTCCTTGCAGCATCCCTTCCAGGGCAATCCATGGGGTTGGCATCTCCCAGTACGGGGCTTTTGCTGCAGCCCCCAACCACATTCATGGCCCTTTTTCCCCCCTCCCCGAGGCCACCCCAACGTCAGCTGCTGGGAGCAGCCGCGGCAGCTTGGCAGGGCCCCTGAATGTCAGCATTGACGTCACCGGAGCATTCCCTGCGTTCCTGCTGCTGCTCCAGGAAACAGGCACAAGGAGCAGGGACAGCCCAGCCGTGGCCAGCCCCGGACCCCCGCTGTCCCCACACCTCCCAATGTCCCTGGGGCTCCCTGCGCCGGCTGCGGGATGAGCGCATGGCTCCGGTTCTGGCACCGCTCCTGTGGGGTTTGGGTACCTGGGACCATCTCTTCCTTCTCTTTCTCCTCCTCCTCCTCCTCCTCCTTGCAGTGTGATCACCTGCTGCCTCTGAATCATCAGCCACCGGGTGCCTCTGGCCTCATCCTGCCGTGATGCGATGATGCTCTGCGATGCGGGCTGCATCCCTGCATCCCGCGCACCCATGGAGTGCCCCATCCATCCTCAGTGCCCCCGGGGGTGGGAATCACGCTGCCCACTCTGCCTGCCCCATCACCAGGGTGCTGTCCCCTTGCTGTCCCCAGCTTGGTGAGGACACAGGGTGCTGCCAGGCTCTAATTCACACCAGGGTGGTGCAAAGGCACAGGGCATGCACAGGAATGTGGTGGTCCTCAAAGGGGCAGTTACTGTGGGACACACGTGTGCATCCGTGTCGGGGTCATCTTGGGAAGGGGAATGTGGGATTTAATGTGTCTTTTGTTTGCCTCCACTGGCTTCTGCGTGGCCACCAGCACTGCAGGTAGAGGTCACCCAGGGCATTTTATGCACCTTTGTTGTTCATAGATATCAAAGGCAGTGGCTTTGCAAGTGAAGCCCATCTGGTTCGTGGTGCATTGGGGTAGCCAGGACCTGGGGACACATCCCCTCTCTGCGACAGGGACACGGCTGCCTCCAGCAGCATCCTTCCCATGCAGCATCCCTGATCCCTGGCAGCATCCATGGGAGCATCCCTGGCTTTGTGGCCCTCGTGGGCCGGCTCCGGCAGAGGCGGTGGCTGGTGCTTGGTCCCTGCTGAGCCGGCGCCGGGGCTGCGGCGGCGCTGCCACCAGCCGCCTGCTGAACTGCAGATGCAGCGCAATGGTAGATGTGATTAATAATGCAATCAGCGACCTATTTTTCCCGGTCTAACGTGCCATGAATATGAGGGCTGAATCCTGGTGATTGCTAAACGCTTTGCTATCTTTGGGGCCTATTCATAAAGCAAGCCCAGCCCTCATCAGAACAGTAATCTGATCCCATTTATTCCTTTCCTGATGTTCATCAAATCTTTTCCTTTTTACATTTTTGTCTTCCTTTCCTTTCTTTTTCTTTCTCCCCCCCCCACTTCCCCATCCCTCTTTGCACATAAAATCCTTAAGTGGGGCAGCAGGAGGAGGAGGGAACCTCAGATCTCCAAAGGGGCACTGGGAGCAGTGAACTGAGTCCTCGCTCTGCCACAGCCCCCTTGTTTTGCTGCTCTGGTACCATAAAGAGACCTTTAAAAGTGACCGGAGCAGTAATTATCCCCCTTTGCTAGGGCCCCAGCACCCTGCCAGAGCAGTGTAAAGAGCCCTTGCTGCAAGTCAGGCCTCTCTTATTTGTTGGTTGGTATTGCAGTAACAAGGATGGGTTCCTGCAGGCAGCTTGGGGCAGGTTGGTTTGCTCCTGCTGGGGAGGATGCTCCCGCTGCAGGCATCTGAGTGCTGTGGAGGCTGCAGGAACCTGCCCAGGGGCTGTGGTTGAGCCTGCCTGATGTGCAGGAGGGTTTTGAGGAGACTGGGGCATGCAGGGATGCTGCAGCTCATGGCCCCAGTGCGGTGCTGCTGCAGCTCATAGCCCCAGTGCGGGGCTGCTGCAGCTCATGGCCCCAGTGTGGCACTGCTGCAGCTCATAGCCCCAGTGTGGCGCTGCTGCAGCTCATGGCCCCAGTGCGGCGCTGCTGCAGCTCATAGCCCCAATGCAAGGCTGCTGCAGCTCATAGCCCCAGTGCAGCACTGCTGCAGCTCATAGCCCCAGTGCAGGGCTGCTGCAGCTCATAGCCCCAGTGCGGGGCTGCTGCAGCTCATAGCCCCAGTGCAGCGCTGCTGCAGCTCATAGCCCCAGTGCGGGGCTGCTGCAGCTCATAGCCCCAGTGCAGCACTGCTGCAGCTCATAGCCCCAGTGCGGGGCTGCTGCAGCTCATAGCCCCAGTGCAGCGCTGCTGCAGCTCATAGCCCCAGTATGGCGCTGCTGCAGCTCATAGCCCCAGTGCAGTGCTGCTGCAGCTCATGGCCCCAGTGTGGCACTGCTGCAGCTCATAGCCCCAGTGCAGGGCTCCTGCAGCTCATAGCCCCGGTGCAGGGCTGCTGCAGCTCATAGCCCCAGTGCAGCGCTGCTGCAGCTCATAGCGCCAATGCAGGGCTGCTGCAGCTCATAGCCCCAGTGCAGCACTGCTGCAGCTCATAGCCCCAGTGCAGCGCTGCTGCAGCTCATAGCCCCAGTGCGGGGCTGCTGCAGCTCATAGCCCCAGTGCGGGGCTGCTGCAGCTCATAGCCCCAATGCAGGGCTGCTGCAGCTCATAGCCCCAGTGCGGGGCTGCTGCAGCTCATAGCCCCAGTGCGGGGCTGCTGCAGCTCATAGCCCCAGTGCGGGGCTGCTGCAGCTCATAGCCCCAATGCAGGGCTGCTGCAGCTCATAGCCCCAGTGCAGCGCTGCTGCAGCTCATAGCCCCAGTGCGGGGCTGCTGCAGCTCATAGCCCCAGTGCAGGGCTGCTGCAGCTCATAGCGCCAATGCAGCGCTCCTCACCGTGCATCCATTTCCCAGCGCCCTGCATTCACCTCCATCCTCTCTGGCCCCCGTTATCCCGCAGGAAACGGCTACGTGAGCGCCAGAGCCTCCCCGGGGCTCCTTCCCGTGTCCAACGGCAGCAGCTTGGGCAAGCTCATCCCGGCCAAGTCGCCACCGCCGCCGCCGCCGTCGCACAGCTCCCAGCTCGCCAGCAACAGCCGCAAGCCGGATTTGCGCGTCATCACCTCGCAGAGCGGCAAGGGCTTGATGCACCATTTGGTGAGTGCCCAAGCAGAGCCTGTCCCCTGCCAGCAGGCACCTTGCAAGGGATGGAGGGGGTGCAGCGCGGGCACCTATTCCCTGCCGGAGCAGTGGGAGTGGGATGGGGCTCGGGTTCCCATTTATGGCATCATGGAATCAACCAGGGTGGAAAAGCCCTTTAAGCTCATCCATCCTAACCCATTCCCCAAGGCCACCATGAGCCCATGGCGCTGAGGGCCTTGTGAAGTGACCCCTTGCAAGGATGCTGTGGCCTCACCAGTGCCCCAGCACAGGGGCACAGTCACTGCAGCCACACTGGTGCTGATCCAGGCCAGGATGCTGCTCACGTTCAGCTCCCATCCATCAGCACCTCCAGCTCCATGAGCAGTCTCCAGATGCTCTTCCCCAAGCCTGGAGCGTTGCGGGGCTCTTTGCCTTCTTGAACCTCAAAGCTCATTTGCCCCACGCTGGATGCCAACAGCCCTGTGCTGGCCACCAGTATGACCAGTACGTGCCCTGTGGTAGGGGAGGGCGCGGTGCTGGTTGGTGTTAATGGTACCTCTTGGTTTTCTCCCTGTTCTCCGGCGCGCAGACCGAGGACCACTTGGCTCTGGTGAGTTCCCTGTTGAGATGAGCATCATGGCCTGGGGTTGGGGTTGGGGTTGGGGGGGAATGGGACATGGGCTGCTTGTCCCTTTGGTCCCCACACCCTGCTTTGGTGTGGGGCCATCACAGGGGGTGGATGCTGTTCCCTTTGCCCTCCGTTGGGATGCGGGCACCAGTGGAGGTGCCCCATGGGCTTCACTGAGCCACCGCAACCTCCAGCATGGGAATACCTGGCCCGTTGCCACCAGGGAGGAAATCAGGCTCTTCCCATATGAAGGATATGCTTTAAAGCCTGTGTAAAGCCACCGCCTGCCTGCTGCCCTCCCTAAACCTCCTTTGTGCACGGGGGGCAGCGGTCCATGTTATTTTTAATGGCTTTGGGGGGTGTTTTCTGCCCTCCCTCGCCAGCAGAGTGAATGCCACCTTGTTTGTGGCAATGATTCACTCGGCTCTGTTGCTATTCTGGTGCAAGGCAGATGGGCGCCAGGTCAGCGCAGCGAGGAAAGGGCGCGCGCTGCTCTAGGATGCAGCTCAAGCAGCCAGGGAAAGGCTGTCAGGAGCAAGCCAATGGCACTTGCAGCATGCAAGGAGCCATTTAGCCAAGGGGGGAAGCTTTGGCAGCCTCCAATTGTGCTGTTTCCAGTGCCTCAACCCCCTTCCCAAGCTGCTTCGTGCCTCAGTTTCCCCATGTGCAGGGTGGAAGCAGTGAGCTCCCGCCTCCCCATCTGCTCCCATGTCACCATTCCCGCTGCCAGAGGGCATCGCCTGTCTCCGAGCTGGAGGAGCAGCTTGCTCCAGGCAAGCAATGAGCCCGCTTGGCATGAGCAGCCTTCATTGTTAGGCTGAGCTCAGCGGCTTGGGTTCTGCCTGCAAGGAGGGGGGCAATGGGGGGGGATGAACCCAAACAGGGGGGGACAGGGACCTCGGCACAGCTGGGTTAGGAGGAGAACCCAGCATTGTCCTTATGGCTTCACCCCTCATGGTGCAGACCCCCCCTTCTCCTTGCTCCGTTAACCTTCTCCCTGCATTTGCTCCTTCCCCATTGCTCAACCTACACACCAGATCCCTCCACATGGCAACTCCCACCTCTTCACACACACAGGGATGAGTCAGCTGCCCCTCACGCTGCCCTTAACCCTTTGCCCTGCCTGCTTTAGGGGTGCTCCTGAGCGCAATCTGCCCTTTAAGGGGGTTCGGATGTGCCCCCCCTATGGCCCTGATCCAAAGGGTGGAGCAGGATCCCGTCACCAAGCCCATGGTGATGCACGGCCTCACCTCCTGCATGGCTTTTATAACGTGGCACTTGGCAACCAGGAGCATTTTGCAAGGGGCACAGTGTGTGGCGTGGGGCTGGGGGCAGCGTGCGCACCCTCAGCATCCTTCCTGCCTCAGTCAGGATGCGGATCCGGGTCTGGCATCCCCACGCTCATGGTGTGAATAGGGGTGGGTGGTTGCTGCCCCGTTCCCAGGGCTGATACCCTCCTGCTCAACAGCATCCCCTCATCCCAACCCTTGGTCGTGGTCGGATTCATCCCCATTCCTGTGCTCTCCCAGGAAAACCGGGTACCAGGGGGCAAAGGGGCTGTGGGGCCGCATCCTGCTCCTCCAGCTCAGGCTCTGCTGCAGGGAGGAGCGGGATGGAGCTGAGTTCTGCCCACCAGGAAGGCATTTCCCTGCTGCCTCCTTAACCCACAGGCTGCAGCCATGGCCCAGGGTGGTTGCCAATGGGATAGGGGCCAGGAAAACCTGCTCCAGCAGCCCCAAGGCTTGAGCAATCAGAGCGCTGGTAACCGCCTTCAATGGGTGCTGGGGAGGCAGCGAACCCAGCACCCCCGCAGGTGGCCGGGTTTTAGCCTCCAGCCTTACCCCAGGAGGGTCCTGCGTGGCCATGACCCCATAGCCAGCCCCACAAGGCCCTGGGGGTGCAGGCAGCCTTGTGCCAGGCACTGATTTAAGCTGGGCGCTGCCCCAGGCTTCACAAGGGGATGTGTGCCCGGGTGCTTCAGCTTAAGAGGCAAGCCTCTTGAGGCCGATTTAAAGCAGCTCAGCAGAGACAGCCCAGCTTATCTGCTTGTAAACAGGGCTGGATCTGCCCACGTCACTGCCTGGGAAGCCATGGGGAGGGGGGGGTCCATGCACAGGTCCAAGGGCAGGGTTTTTCCATAGAGGACCTGCTAATGCCCGAGGCACCCAAACCTCACAAGGGCACTGAGGGTGCTGAGCACTGGGGGTACCAGAGGGCCACAGGATGGGCTGGGTTGATGGGATCTTAAAGCTCCTCCAGTCTCAACCCCCAGGGGCACCTTGCACTGGAGCAGGATGCTCCAAGCCCCATCCAACCCAGCCTTGAGCACTGCCAGGGATGGGGCAGCCACAGCTTCTCTGGGCACCCTGTGCCAGCACCTCAGCACCCTCACAGGGAAGATTCTGCCTTAGATCCAACCTCAGCATCCCCTGGTCCAGTTTGAACCCTTTCTTACCCCAGAGCGGATGCAAACCAGATGCGGGTCCCTGCGGGTGAAGCCCAGCCCTGGGTACAAAGGTGCCCTAGGGCCAATGCCAAGTGACCTGCAGTGAGCATCACAAGGGCCCTCAATGCCTGTAGCTGGTGTGGCTTGCACCTTGCTGCAGTGAGGAGTGGCCCTGCTCAGTCCCACAGCCTCGGATGCTTCAAAGCCTGATGCATGCCTGGAGGGGGGGGTTAGCTGCACACTGAGGTTTGATGGGGATAACAAGTGCAATGCAATGCTCCTGACTCCCTTCTCCCTTTGCCTCCCCAGCAGAACACGCAGCGGTTGGGTGGCTCCCAAGCAACTCACTCTTTAACCACCCCGGTTGTTTCTGTGGCCACCCCGAGCCTGCTGACGCAGGGGCTGCCTTTCTCTGCCATGCCCACAGCCTACAACACAGGTAAGAGCTCATAGCCCTTTCGTGATGGGGGTATGTGCTGCTGGAGGCACGCTCCTGGCCCTCCTCACCTCCATCACCCCTCCTGGGACTCGCTGCCACGAGATGTGGTTGATGCCAAGGCTTTCACAGCATTGAAATCAAGGGGAGAATCGGTATTGAGCTCCCTGTCCCATGCAGAAGGGCTCTGAGGGCAGGGTTCTGTCACCCTGCAGCCCATTGCGCTGTGCTGGCAGCGTGAAGGTGCTTTTTGAGTGGATGCTCATTACAGCTCCACCCGTCCCCATGCTCTTGGGAGCTGGGGGTGATGTTGTAATAGGGGCTTGATGGAAAGGAGCATCAGGGCCCCTCAAACCTTGGGGAAGAATGCAACCCAGCCTGCTTGTGGGCCATGGGAATGGAGGGGGGGGGGATCATCTGCAAGCCATCAAGCAGGGTGTTAAGGACTCGCTGCGTTTCCTCCATAGCAAACTGGGGCTCAGAGCAGGCAAGATGTCAAAAGCTGCTTGTCTGGAGGAGCCCGGAATAGGCACGTTGGGAACTCCCTCTCCTAATGAGTAGGTGTAGCCCACAAGATGCCTGTGTGTGCGTGACGAGAGGCTCCTCTCCCCCCGTGGAAGGCAGCCCCAGCCCTGTGGTCCAGCAGCCCAAGGGCCCAAAATAGGTTCTAATTGTGCCCTGCGCTGCTCCCGACAGGAGCTGGGTTCCAGCTTTCCCGGCTGGTTTCCTCCTGCAGATGACCACAGGCACGAAGCGATCCCACGTGGGCTGGGATGTTATCAGGGGTTATCATTGCCTGCATGAAAACCCTGTTTGAGGGTGCAAGCGTGGGGCTCTGGGCTTGTTCTTTCCAGGGGTATCCTATTCATTGGGTGGGGGCTGTCCCCATTGCAGGCTGGTGTGGGTTATGTTGAGGTTCTCACAGTATCCCAGTATGTTAGAGATTGGAAGGGACCCCATAAGCTCATCCAGTCCAATCCCCCTGCAGAGCAGGAACACCCAGATAAGGTTACACAAGGATGCATCCAGGTGGGTTTTGATGCCTCCAGAGAAGGAGACTCCACAGCCTCCCTGGGCAGCCTGGGCCAGTGTTCTGGCACCTCACTGAGAAGGAGTTTAAGTGGAACCTCTTGTGTTCCAGTTTGTACCCATTGCCCCTTGTCCTATCATTGTTTGCCACTGAGAAGAGCCTGGCTCCATCCTCGGGACACTCCCCCTTTATATATTTATATACACTAATAAGGTCACCCCTCAGTCTCCTCTTCTCCAAACTATAGAGACCCAGCTCCCTCAGTCTCTCCTCATAAGGGAGATGCTCCACTCCCTTCATCATCTCAGTTGCCCTGCGCTGGACTCTCTCCAGCAGGTCCCTGTCCTTCTGGAACTGAGGGGCCCAGAACTGGACCCAATATTCCAGATGCGGTCTCACCAGGGCAGAGCAGAGGGGAAAGGGGACCTCTCTTGACCTACTGACCACCCCCCTTCTAATGCACCCCAGGATGCCATTGGCCTTCTTGGCCACAAGGGCACAGTGTCGGCTCATGGTCACCCTGTCGTCCACCAGGACCCCCAGGTCCCTCTCCCCTAGGCTCACTGGCCAGGCTTGCCCTTTCCCATGGTGCTTGGGTCAAACCCAACTGTTTGCAGCTTAGAGATAGGAAACTCCTGCAAAACGTGACAAAAGAGGTATGGGATCATGTTCCCTGTCAGGGTGCTGAGGCGCTGGCACAGGGTGCCCAGGGGGGCTATGGCTGCCCCATCCATCCTTGAACATCCAGTGTTCAAGGTTGGATGGGGCTTGGAGCAAGCTGCTTTAGTGGAAGGTGTCCCTGCTGGTGTCAGGGGGTTGGACCTGGATGGGCTTCAAGGTCCCTTCCAACCCATCCCAGTCTATGGGATGGCTCCAGCTCTTGCCATTGGCTGTGGTGGCGGCTGTCACAACCAGTGGGTGTCAGGAGCTCCTAAACCAGCAGAGCTGGTGCTGGGGGGTGAAAGGGCCCTGGGCCTCTCTCAGGGTGTGCTCGGCTCAGCCCGCGGCATTGGCAGCGGTTCAGCACCTTTGCAGCCACCCCTTTGTGCTGGGCTGCTGGGCCCCACTGGGGTGAGGATGCCCAAACCTAGAGCGAGGAAGCAGGAGGAGGCGCTGGGGGAGCGCAGCAGGGAATGGGTTGGGTTGAAGGGGCCTTAAAGCTCTTCCAGCTCCAACCCCTGCCACGGGCAGGGACCCCTTGCCCCGGAGCAGGATGCTCCATGTTTGGGAAGAGCATCACCCGCATCCTTCATCCCCTCCACCCTAAGCCGTTCAAAGGGGGGGAATGGACCCGGCGGTGGGCGGAGAGCGCCCTCTGCTGCCCGCGAGGTGTGGGGCAGGGGGGGCTGTTGGCCTGAACCCTATCCCTGAGCCTAACCCATGTCCTGATCAGGGAGGAAGGCTGGGTATAGAAGGATGAAATCCTTCCCTGTGAGGGTGCTGAGGCGCTGGCACAGGGTGCCCAGAGGAGCTGTGGCTGCCCCATCCCTGGCAGTGCTCAAGGACACGGGGGTTTGGAGCATCCTGCTCCAGTGGCAGGGGTTGGAGCTGGTACTCCCTGCAGTAGCTGCTGCTCTCTAGGTCATGCCTGGTTTGTGCCCCTGGTCTCCATCTCCTCGCAGTGCTCAGGGCTCTGCTGGAGGAGCTTTGACATTGAAGTGACCGAAGGGCTCCTTCCTTTCCAGATTATCAGCTGCCGAGCGCGGAGTTGTCTTCGCTGCCAGCATTCAGCTCACCCGGTGGGCTGTCCCTTGGCAACATCTCTGCCTGGCAGCAGCAGCAGCAGCAGCAGCAACAACAGCAACAGCAACAACAGCAGCAGCAGCAGCAGCAGCAACAGCAGCAGCAACAGCAGCCGCAGCAGCAGCAGCCGCAGCAGCAGCATCTGGTTCCTGTATCACTAGGGAATTTAATGTAAGTGAAAGGCTGACAAGAAACCGGGAGGGGGGCTTTGGGCAAAGGGATGCAGGGACGGGACAAGGGGAATGGCTTGAACCTGACAGAGGGGAGATGGAGATGGGGTCTTAGGCAGAAGCTCTTCCCTGTGAGGGTGCTGAGGCGCTGGCACAGGGTGCCCAGAGAAGCTGTGGCTGCCCCATCCCTGGCAGTGCTCAAGGCCAGGTTGGACACAGGGGCTTGGAGCATCCTGCTCCAGTGGAAGGGGTCCCTGCATTTGGAACTGGATGAGCTTTAAGGCCCCTTCAACCCAACCCATCCTGTGGCTCAGTGATTGATAATGGGTACCAATGGTCACTCAGTCGATGCTGCCCATTGCAGGGTCTAATCCTGGCATGGCAGTGACTGTTTCATGGTGAGCGCATGGATTGTGATTCCTGGGGTCATCACAACTCCCAGTTCTCACTGTGAATCCAGATTTATCATGGAATCAGGTTCATCATCTCAGCCTCATTGGCCATTCTGGATTCATTCGGGTGCGGGTTGCGAGTTCTGTGCTCCAGCACCTAAAAGGCCACCGCAGAGATAATAACGACCAACTTCCCATTATCTCCTCCCCCGTTTCTCCCCCCTTCTCCCTTCCTCCTCCTCTCCCATCCTCACGCCCAGACAAGGGAGTCACTTATCCCACACCACCACTTTGACTGTCAACACCAACCCCAACATCAGCATCAAGTCGGAGCCCGTCTCGCCCAACCGGGAGAGGAACACTGCCACCCCGCTCAGCACCTTCCCTCACCAGCCCCGCCACGAGCCCACCGGCCGCTCGCCCGTCGACAGCCTCAGCAGCAACACCAGCTCCTACGAAGGCAGCAGCGAGCGGGATGATCCCTCCCGCGCCGATTTCAGCTCCTCCCTGGGCCTCCTGCGACCCAGCAGCGAGCCCGAGGGCGAGAGCCCCTCCGTGAAGCGCATGCGCTTGGATACCTGGGTCACATAACGGGCTCCTCGCCATCCCTTGGGAGCGCTGCCGGCGCCGCGGGGAAAGGGTGGGGAGGGATGGGGCGAAACAGGGGATGGGGATGGGATATGGGGGGGGAGGGAAACGATCATAAACTGCCTGAAAACAATAGCTTTAGGATTCTGTAGGCATTCATCCTAGCGCAGCAGGGCGTAACGGCGCTCCCGGCCTTGGGAAGAGCCAGCGGGGGCTTTGGGAAGGGAGGGATGGGAATCACACGGCTGAGTCCTGGGCAAAAGCAGCTGGGGATGGGATGCTCATCCCCGTTGTGGCGGTGGGTGCCCATTGAGTGCAAGACCCCCCCCCCATGGATGGTGGTCCCCTTTGGGAGGTGGGACTGTATCCCTGGGGAAGAGCGCCTGCAGCAAGGATGGGCTCGGAGGGGAGATGGGGCACAGAGCCTTCCCAAAGCGCAGCAATGGGGCTGTCCCAGGCCCAGTGTGCAGGGAAGGGCGGCCTGGATGTGATCCAGCTCTCAGGAAGGTTGAAGGGTTTTGGCAGGCACTGATTTTCCTAAATCAAAAGGGATAAGAAGGAATAAGAGGCAGATTTGGAAGACTGAAACCTGTTTGTGTGAGGTCAATGCAGGCAGCACCCAAGGGAGCTCCACTATTGCTGGCCATGACCATGTTCTAACTCTGGTTATCCTTTCCCAAAGTCTGGCCTCTGCCTGGCTGCAGGGTGTCTGGAGAGGAAGGATTCCTTAGACACTTCCATCCCGTTGGACAGGGCTTGGAGCAACCTTGCTCTAGTGGAAGGTATCCCTGCCCATGGGGGCTGGATGAGCTTTAAGGTCCCTTCCAACCCATCCCATTCCAGGATTCTGTGATTCTTATGCTGCTTGTACAGAAAATCGCAGGTTTTACCAAACAAAATTGGTAAATGCATTGTAAAAATGCATTCCCATTCCACATGGGACAAAGCTTTCCATTGGGAAAACAGGAATACGTGGTTCTCATTGAAAGATGCAACCGACATTGGTATCCTTTGGGGTTTGGCCTGAAGGCTTCTAGGCCTCAAAAGACAAGGGTGAACTGGGGGGGAAAGGAAGGTCTCAAGGGAGTGATTTAGTGGAGGGAGAAAGGAGGAAAACCCAAGGAATTTCCTTGTGTTGCCCAGGGCCAGGCATCAGCTCTCCCTGACCCCAAAATGCAGCCACCAGCTTAGGGATTGAGGGTTTGGAAACGGGCTTTCTCCCTGCAGGCGCTCTCCTCCAGGATGCTGGTCCCCATCCCCATCCCCATCCTGCTGCCTTGTCACCGCAGGCACAAAACCTGCCCAGATGCCACCTTTGCCAAACAGCTCCTTTGGATGGGCTCTGGGAGCCAGGAGCGGTGCTGGGCTTCATGGAGGTGCAGCCGCTTTTCCCAATGTTTCTAATTGGAAAAACACCCAAAACGTTGCTTGTTATGGATCAGGATAACTTAAAAAGTGAGTGGTTGGAGGAAATCCTCCCAACATCGGGTGAAAATCAAGAGCCAAAGAGGGAAAATGGAGCACATCCCTTCAGAGCCAACACCTACCCTGACTTTCCCTTCTCTCCCTGGTGATGGTTTGGGGTGAGCCTCAGCACTGGCATCAGGGAAGCCTATGCTCAGCCCATGACTGGTGCCAGCTCACACCAAACCTTGCCCGGGTACCAAAGCTTGGGCTGAGCATCCTGCCCTGAAATCCCTGCCATGCCATGGACCAGCTCAAATTCCCCTATGGAAACCTTGGCAATAGCCAATCGCTGCCATGAAGTTTGTCCAATTGATGATTTTCTTCCTTTTGAATGGTAAATGTTTAATTCCCTCTCCCATTCCCATGCTCTGTCGAGCCTTGGGATGGCTCCGGGCAGGTTCTATGTGGTCAAACCGCCCCTTCCCTGCATCCCTCCCTCCCCAAGCTGTATCCCGGGGAGATGCTCAGCTCTCACCTCCAAAACGCCAGCTCGGCATCAGCGGCAGAAGCAGATCTCCCTCCCTCCACCTCCGCTTTTCCATCCGGGAAGCAGGAGAGATGCTGCGGACCGTGATCCTCCTCCTTCGCCTACGCTGACCCCCCCTGCCCCACAACCCCGAGCCGGCGATGCCGGACACGCACCTGAGCTCTTTGCACGGCCTTGCTTTGGAAATTAGGTGGGATTATCGACGTCTCATTGGTCTCATTTTATAGGTTTGATTTTTTGGTTCCTTCACAAAGAGAGGAAATAAAACCCAACCCAAAAGGGGGGTTCCTGCCCCGCTGGGGAGCAGCTTGCTCCGGAGATCCCGGCGGGAAGGAGGCATGGAAACCCCTCCTGGCACTCGACGCCATCCACGCCGCTGGAGCATCCCTGCAGAGCGACCCCAAGGCGGGGGACACAAAAACCATCACCAAAACACGCCCCCCCCCCCCCATTTTTTGCTCATGGACTTCATGCCCTGCCTCCCGACTTTGCTCTTCTGAAGCTGAGCCTGGATGGAAACGACCACAAACCCCAGGACTTGCAAACGCTCCGGGTTCCGTTGCGATGCGGGTTTTAGATCCACCCGGAGCAGATCCGCAGCATCCCCTGCGGCAAGGACTCCATCACCCCCCTTTGGGCTGATGCCACGGGCAAGTAGAGCTCGTGGGAAGAGCAGGGATACCCGGGGTCGCATCCGGCATCAGCTTCACCATCGCGGTGATGCAGTTTCAGGGCTTGGTTTGTTGGGGGGGGCTTGATTTTGGGGGGTTATTTTAGGGTTATATTCTTATTTTTGTGTCTGGGTCATTCTCCCCCCCTCCACCTCCCCCAAAGACTTTAAAATCCATCAAACTCCTCCTAATTTTCAAAAGACAGCGAGAGAAACGACAATCTTAAAGACACCAACACCCTCCTTTGTGCTTCTCGAAGCCCGTCCCGGGTCTCACTTTCTGTTCTCGTGCTCATTGTACTGTTGACGGTTACAATCGTGGGTAAATTTTTTTTAAGTTGGGATTCTTGGATTTTATTTTATTTTTTTTCTTTGAGTTTGGGAAAAAAAAAATATTTTCCATTTTTTAAAAAGGGGTGTTGCAAAAAAAGAAAAAAAAAAACCCACAAAAAACCTTGCACGATTTCAATGACAATAGTTAAAATGCTGCAGTTTTTAGAGATGTGGAAGCAAAAATGGAGCTTATTTATTCTCAAAGGCTATCAAAGGTGTAAAATGCATGAAGAAACAACAGCAAAAAACTTTACAAAAAAAAAAAAACAAAAAAAAAGCCAAAAAAAGCCAAAAAAAGTGTAACCTGAACAAAGTGTAGCGTTCAAATTTGGGAAGGATGACGAGAAAAACGCAAAGAAAAAGACAAAAAAAAAAGCTAATATATTGTGTTTGGGCTAGTTTGCTTTTGTTTTTAATTGTTCCTTTTTTTGGAGAATGAAATACAATTGTGTATATTTTCATATTAAGAAGTATGCACTGATAATGTTTCCAAATGATATATCCCTTTCTAAAAGTGTGGTTATTTAACCAAAGTCTTTGTTTCTGATCTTTTACCTTCGTTGACATCTCTTGTGGATCCCTCCCCAACGCGCGCGACCGGGGCTCGACGCCGCGGGCCGTAGGCAGAGGTAAGCTGGGGTGGTTCATAGACACCCCCCCCTTCACCAGCATCACCCCTTTGGTACCCCATGGGGACCACTCATCACCCCATAGGACCCCACTGCTCCCTATGGGGTGATGGGGGGACTGTAGCGCCAGGGTGGGTTTGGTGCTGGTGGATGCAGCCGGGATGCTGGCACTGGGGGGGGATGGCTGTGACCCCCCCATCCCGGGAAGGCTGGTCTTTCCCAGGGGTTGGAAGAGCCGAGGCTGGCTCGTTTAGGGGGTGCTTGTGCTGGTGGGGATGGGGATGGGGATGGTTGGGTCCATGGTGTCCCTTTGGTGGGGTGATGCTGGGGAGAGCAGCATTGAGGAGGGGGTATGGCCGTGTGCTGGTTGGGGGGCACGCCAGGAGCAGATGAGGGCTCTGTTGCTGGTGTGCACTGGGATAACTGGGAATTCACCTTGGCTTGGTGCAGGAGGAGGAGGATGGAAGGAGGTCGCAGGGGCTGGTTTGGCTGCTGTAGCAGCAGGATGGGCAGATCTCCATGGGGATGGAGCAGCACCCTACGTGATGCCTTGAGCCTCAGATACCAGCGTGGAGGGCATCAGGAGGGTGTTGAGGATGGGGATGGAGGGATGGGGATGGTCTCAGTGCAGCGTGGAGTGATCACACAGGGGTGACCCCCCTGCTAAACGGGGTGGGTTTAGGGGATGGAGAAGAGCCCGGCTGCGTTGGAGGCTTGGATGAGGGTGGATGGAGATCCTTTGGGAAGGGGTTTGTTGCCGTGTGTATGGGGCTGCTGCCGGGGTTGGGGTCTGAGGGTTGTTGGAGCTGGTCACAAGGGGCTGTGCGTGGTCCCATGGGGGAAAGTGGGGTGAGGAGAAAGCAGGTTTCCTTTTCTTCCCCTCTTCATTTTCCTCTTCCTCCCCCCCAAACCTCAGCAAAGGGAAAAAGCAAACCTACATCTCCCCCCACTTCCATTTTCCATGGCAAATTCCACCTCCTGCGCATCCCCCCATTGCTTTTACTGGGAATTGGGAAGCTTGGCACCGGCTCTGGGGAGATGCTGGAAGTGGCCGAGGTCGAGCAGGACCCCTTGGCATGGGGAAGGAGTTTGCATCTTCCCAGCCATACCTTGTCTGTGCCCCCCCCATGCCACATCCCCCATTCCCCTCCATGTAAGGCACAGTTTGGAGCCGTTTGGGGCATTTAGAACACCCCAAAGTGGCAAAACCTCATCCCCATCCACTTCCCACAGGGCCGTGGGTGAGTCCGTAACCGTGGGCTTCAGCTCTTGTTTCCCTTTCCCAACCCCACACCATTTCCCTTTGCCTTTTCCTCTTCCCATCCCACTTCGCTTCTCCTCCCCCTTTTATTTCCCCCCTTTTCTTATCTTTTTAACACAAAAAAGCTCAACCAAGTGTTAGGTTTCACTACCTCCATCGCCCTTCCCTGCCCGAAGCCTCCCTTCCCTGTCCTCCCTCTGCTCTTTCACTTGGGGTATTCAACCTGTCCGTGTAAATAGCGAGATCCAGGTCAGCGATGGTAACGGGGCAGAAAAGCTGCTTTTGAGTTCTGGGGCTTCTTTTTGTTGTATTGATATGAAACGAGATTCTATTTTTGTCAGAGTATATTGTAATAATACTGACCTCGGCCGTGGCCGCCTTGTACAGCCACCTTCTTGTTCAACCCTCTTGTTCAGCCCCTTCCCCATCCCTCTCTGCCCCCCACTTTGCCATGTCCCATCCCAGGGATGGTTTGGGCCCCACGGATGCTTTTCCATAGAGGGCTCCCGGATTGCTGGGGGATCACCTATGGGTCCTGGAGCTCAGCACCACCCGGGAACAGCTTTTGTGGGAGCCTTGGGAATGGGGAGGTACCCAGTGCCCAGGGATGCTCCCAGCAGGAATAGGGGACCTCAGAGGAGTGGATGGGGTCATCCCAGCTCCCCTCCATTCCCCAGCCGCTGGAAAACCCATTTATGTTCAGTTTATTCCTCTGCAGCTCCGTTTTGAGTGAAGTCCCCTTTGGAATATGCTTCCTTTAAGCCAGAAGAGGGTGGTGTGGCTCAGACCTCGCCGCATCTTCCAAGCAGGCAGCGATGGGGTTTTCAGAGCATCCTCATCCCGGTGCCATGGGGAGAGGCAGAGAAGGGCAAGAGCTGCTCCCCCCTGCATTTAACCACAGCACAGAGCAGTACCGAGCATCCTTTCCCCATCATTGGCTGGATGCTGGGGTGTCCCCCAGGGCTCCCAAATGCCTTCAAGGCTAAGGGAGGAAGCAGCCCCATTACCAAGCTCGGGCCATGACTCCCCTTCTCCCCACGGCTCTTCCCAAGCAGTTTGCTGGTGACTGGGATGCTGAACCAAGTGGGACCATTGCGGCTGTGCTGTTCGTCCCATTGGCAAACAGGTCCTAGGGTGGCCTCAGTCCTTTCCCATCCCCAAGCTCCCCATAGCTCAAGTAAAGCAGGTAGGTGTTAGCATAGTCTGGGGCATCTGCAACCGCCTTGGTAAGACAGAACAGACCCTTTAAAGGATGCACTAAAATAAGGGAATAAAGCAGAAATCCCCCTCTCCTCAGCTCCTCTGTGTGGGGTTAATGGGATCCCCTGCACAGCTCGGTCTGCATCAGCACGGGCAGCTCTTCTCCTTCTTTCCGCCCTAAGGATGCTGCACCAGGACGTGCACTTCCCCTGAGGAGTTTATTTATTGTTTTGAGAAGGAATTGAGAAGAGAGGGGGAAAAAAGGACAGAAAAGGATGAACTGTGTATCTATAATATATATCTCTCTATTTTTGAACCTCTTTCGTTTTCCTGATGCTCCTCCACGTGTGTGTGTGTGTGTGCGTGTGCGAGGTGAGGTGGCAGATTGGGATGCTCATGGGATGCTCATGGGATGCTCATGGGATGGGCGCACGCTCGCCCATGCAGTACGGAGCAGGGGACACCCTGCTGTGTGCATGGAGAAGGGGACCAGCGCGTCCCCCTGCTCCATGCTTTGGGTGGGATGCTGCCAAGCAGCAGCGTTGCAAGGGAGGATTTATGGGGTTTGGAACCGGGATCTTTGCCTAATTCCATCTTCCTCTTGAGTGGTTACTGGCTGAGAACCCCCCGAATCCTGGGGACACCATCACCCCCATCCCTGTCCCTTCCCATCCCTGCTCCCGACCCGCACCCTTGACAATCAGTGGCTCCTTCCCAGGGTCTGCAGCCCGTGGTTGAGGCGTCCGCTTTGGTTTTCCGATATCCCTTTTTTCTTTCTGTGCTGTATGGTGATGCGTTATTGTATATTCCACACTAAGATAAAACAAAGGAAAAAAATAACAAAAAGAAAAGGAAAAAAAAAAGAAAAATATATTAAAAAAATGATGATGATGATGATAATAATAATTACCATGAAAAATTCTTATGAGTTTTGTTTGGAAACTCTTTCACTATATTTGTTGTAAAGAGGTTTACTATTAAAAAAAAAAAGAAAAGAAAATACACGTTTCTGATAATTTCCGCTGCTTCTGGCTCTTTCTTTCCTGGGTTCAGGCTCCTGCTGAGGTGGGGATGGGCCTTGGGATGGGCAGTGGGGAAGCCACCAGGACCCTGCTTTCCTCCTCAGTATCCTCAAGCCTCCCATCCCTGTCCCTGGGATCCAGGCAGTCTGAGGACCTGGGATACCCCGGGCTCGGTGTGTGCCCCAGCAGCAGCCCTAAGGCAGGGTGATGGCTCTGCTGGGATGCTGTGGGGAGATGAAGTTCTGATGTCTCCCATCCCTGCTTGCTTGCTTGGCTGCGATGGACACCCCGAGCCAGCCCTTGCTATGGCTCCACATGGATGAGGCCCACGTTTCCCAATCAAAGCCTTTCCCAGCGGGTGTCAGACCATCCCCTGGTCCTCATGAGCCTGGCTGCAGAACAAGGGAGGCCTCGCTCTGCCTGGAGGTGGGACTTCTGCTGGGCTGCCAGCGAGGATACCAGGTAAGCGGGAGGGCCTGAGGATGGTTTGGGGTCCCCGTTGCCCCCCTTGGCTCTCTGTGGGGTGTCTTTGGGACCAGGGGAGCTGCTGGGGGTCACTGGTGGGAACTGGTACAGGGATGGGGATGCGGAGCCTGCAGGGTCGCGTTTGGCCGCCAGGTGGCGGCAGAGCGCAGGGAGCCGCGGCGGCCCTGGCTGATGGACGGCACCAGGGATGATCCCAATCCCGGTGGGAATTCCTTGAGCTGCCCCTATGCGGACCCCACCAGTGCTAACAGAGAGCGATAGGCACGATAGGCAGCCAGCATGATCCGCAAGGGAGGCAAGGGCACATCCCATCGCCTGCAGGGCTGCATTTGGAGCTGCCCAGTGGTGCCCAGCATCGAGTTTCCCCATCCCATGAAGATGCTTGAAGTCCAAAGCCATTCACCTCCAATAGGCTGCTCCTTGGAGGCCTTTGCCCGAATGCAGGCAGCTGGCTGCAGGTTATCCCAGTGTTTTACCTCCTGGAAAACGCCATTCCAAGTAATGGAAGAGGCTGGATGCTTGTGGTCCCTCTTGTGACCCTTGGTTAAAGCATTATCCAGGTCTCAGCTTCCCTACATATGATGCTCACTCCCTACGACCAAAAACTACTCTTTTTGTGGTCAAAGATCAGCAAAACAATAGTAGAAGGTCAGTAAAACAACAGGAAAAGATCAATAAAGGAATTGTAACCGAATCAAGCAGGGGTTTGTCTGCTATTCCTTGATTTCGGAACTGTGGTTGTAGCCCTGGAGAGGGACGTGCGGGTCAGCACTGTGTGATGCTTCAATCAGAACACGGCTTATCCCCCCTCGGAGCCAGCGCTGCTCTGTACAATCAGATCACAAATCAAAAGGAAGCAGAGGGAATTATCCATTGGGAATTCTCCATTTCCCAACTGGGAGTTCGGGGTGATTGGCTCCAAGTTGAGCTTTTGCTCCCATCCGGGGCTGGGATGAGCCGTGGCTGGGGAGTGCATCACCCTCCCAGCACTGGGAAGAGGCTACAGCACCAGGAAGTATCCGCATGGATTTATATCCACTGGGAATCGGTCCCCTGGGACATCCCGGAGCATCCGACCAGCTATTCCCACTCTTCCCTCTCCCGAGCACATGGCATGTGGTTATATTCCTGTGTCTGGTTATATCCTTACAGGTGATACCATTATTACAGGTGACAATCCATTATTACTATTAGCATTATAATTACTATTAATATTATTGATTATAATGATATTAATGATGTTATTGCTATTTGCATATGCTATGATGTTCATATATGTGATGATATTCTTACATGTGATTGTATTCTTCTATGTGGTGATATTCTTGTAGGTGATAGCATTATTATAAATGATCTAATTATTATATGCACTGTTGTTATAGGTGATATTAATATAGGAGTTTATTATGTTATTGGTATTATTGATATTATTAATATTGATCTCTTATATGCTATTATATTCTTCTATGTGATTATATTCTTATAAGTGATATCATTCTTATGTGATATTATTATTATACATGGGCTGATCATTATACATTATAGGTGGTTATTATTATTATTGATACTAATGATAATTATAATATTGCTATTGATATTCTTACATGTGATGATATTCTTATAGGTGGTATCATTATTCTAGGTTATATTATTATTATACATGGTGATGTTTATACATTATAGGTGATGATTATATGATTATTATTGATACTAATGATAATCATGATATTGCTATTGATATTCTTACATGTGATGATATTCTTATAGGTGATATCATTATTCTAGGTAATATAGGTGGTGTTATAAGTGATGTTATAGGTGATTATTATTAACAATTATTATTAATACTACTTATTGATATTCTTATAGGTGATTATATTCTCATAGGTGATACCATTATTAACTATTCTATGATTATAAGTGTGTTATAGGTGATATTATTATAGGGTTTATTATTATGGGGTTGCATTATTATTGTTATTATTGTTATTGATGATGATATCATCACTATTATTATTACTCCTATTATTACTATTATTATTCCCACCATCACCATCATCACCTGAGGAATCGGGACCCCTACACTGAGAACTGTCTGACACGTCCCACTGTTCTCAGCCCTTAGTGGAAGCAGCCCCCTTTCCCTCGGGGGGTTCTTGCAGGTTTGGGTTGATTTCCCCTCTTTTCCCTTCATTCCAGCTCCACGCTCCAGGGCACAAACTGTAAAACATCCATTGGGAATCAGCCCCGGCCCCCAGAGCCCCTCCAGGACAGGTCGAGCCCTTTCCGCTAACAACGCAGCCTTGCAACCTCGGCGAGTAAAGGATTTTGCGGCAAAGAATGGATCATTTTCCCATTTACCCATGATTCAAGGATTAATAACTAATCCCATCAAAGGACATCTGCTTAGATTGTTCCTTGTCACTGAAAGTAAATAGAGCCTTTTAGTCTTTAGACCTAAACTCCTCTGAGGTTATTATGCGCAGGGAACCTCCTACAAGCCCTTGCTTTCTCTTCTGCTCCTGCTGTGCCTAACCCTGGAGGGAGAAAGCAAACTTTGCTAGGCCCTGGACATAAAGGTTATTTGCTCCAATGGAGGAGACTTTGATGCGAGGCCGGGTAAGCCGAGACCCTCGCCCTCCCCTAAGGCTCGGCTTTAACAGGGGGCTGCAGCCCGCCGAGCCCTTTGAGCCGCATTGTCCTGCATCCGCGCACCATTTCCCCCTTTCAGGATGGGGATGCTGCGGCTTCGCTTCCCCCCAATACACACACACCCATTTGGATCTGCTTTTGGGGGGTTAAATAGGAAATTAAATAGGAAAAGGAATTGGTTGGGTCTGGGTCTAAAACCTCGGAGGAGAAGGCTCACGGGGTGGGATGGATGGAGCCCGCATGCAGGATGTTGGAGGTACAGCCCCATAGAGGGAAAGATCCAGGTCTTGAGGGCAAAAGAGCTGGGAAATAACGGACTTCTTGTTGAATAACAGGTCTAACTCGGGGGTTCATCTGCAGGGCTCCCAGCACTCCACAAAAAGCTGCTTTTTTGGGGGACGGAGACTCTGAAAGGAGCGGATGAAGCCAAAATGTCAGCAAATTACCCCAAAAAAGCCTCATCCTCTGCCCAGGAGCTGCCATCTGTAACTATTAACCAAAGGGCCTTCCCAGGGCCAAAAGACCCCCGAAAGGAGGAGATATCCATGGCGAGAGCATGGAAAAGGTCGCAGCGGAGCCGAGTTCTCCTTTCCTCTCCTTGTGCTGGGGTGGAAATCAGCACCGGTGCCAGGCCGTTGGAGGGATGCATGCTGTAAGCATTGCAGAACATCTAAAATTAGAGGGTTGGGGTGGCTTCTCCCCCCCACCGCTCTTTGCAGAACATGGGAGAGCGGCTCATCCCCCAGCACCAGCTGTGGGCTTTTCTGCTCTCGTTTTGGGGGAAAAAAGCTTATTCTGAGGTAGAGACAAAACAGAAACGCTGCTCCCAAATCCAAGAGGAATTCTCAAGCGGGGCCATGGGCCCTGATATGGGAACTCCTCCGACATCCCAATGGAAAACGGCCTCGTTGGCCCTTTCCAGCGTGGGGACGCCGGTCCCGCTGTGCCTCCCATCCCTCCGGCCCTGTGATGCCGCTGCCATCGAGCCTCGGCTTCGAGCTCCTGCGAAGGGAGCGATTGCAGGGAGAAGCCAGTGGGAGTTCAAAAGGAGCAATAGTGATTTAAACGCCAGCAATTTCCCTTATTTTCTGCCGCTTAAAGGTGCACGCTGGGAATGTTGAAATATCCTTGTTATCCCCCTCAATACCCAGGGAAGCTGTTTTTAACGAGCAGGGCTGTAATCAGGCCGCCTTCGTGCCAGGCATCTCTCCCTAACAAACCCATTCTCCAAAAGAGCTGTCCACATCAAAGCCCTTTGAAGGAGAAGAAAAGGCACCTGCTGGACTGAGTGCGTCGGGCAGCTGTGGGAGCCGGGGTAGGTGCCGGGGGGACACTTCACCCAATTCCATCCAGACAAAACAGAGCTCCCCTCCGCTATGGGAAGAGGGAATATTTGCATTCGGGTTGGGTTTGGGGGGGTTCTGCTGTGGGGTTTTTATTGCTGTCAGCTTGGGAAAACATCCCACAAGGCCCAAACAATCCCATAGAAATGAATTTCCTTCTTTCCAGGCTCCAAGCCCCCTTCCCCTCGGATGCTCCCAGGTTACAGGGGTGCTTCTGAAGGCATCCGGCTGCGGTTTGGCCTTTTAGGTGAACTACTCCAATGTCCACCTGAGGTAGGAAATGGTGGGGAGAAGCAGGAGGAGGACACGAGGCTTGCAGGGAGAAGGGGTTTGTTTCCCTGTGGGTGCTGGTGGGTGAGGATGGAGCAAAGGGTGAGGGTGTCCATGGTTGGCACAGCCCTGGGGCTTCTCTGCTCCTGTCCTTCAGCAGGCAACCGAAACGCATCTTTTGTTGCACTTGTCTTTGTCTGGGGGGATGCTGCAGCCGTGGCACTGCGAAAATGCCCAGCGAAAGCACAAGTGGGTGAGACAAAGACATTTCCTTGGCAATCACCGGCTCCAAACCCTCTCCTTCCCCCCCAGTCTGTGAGATCAGAGCTCAGACAGCCCAGGTTCTGAAGGAATTCTCCACAAGGAGAATTGCGACCCAGACCCTGTATCTGACCATCACTGCGTATCAGCGAGATGCACTCCTAAGAGGCCTCCCACATGGAGATGAGAGGCAAAAAGGAAGGGATTTCCCTTCAAAACCCCACCAGGGCTGGTCCATACCAGGGCCCTGCAGGATCTCAGCACCCTGCAAAGGCTTCACAGCCCCGGAGATGCTCCCTGGTGCCCAGCACCAGTCAGCAAAACCCATTCGTTCCTATGGGCAGAGCATTTTGCGGTAGCTATTTTGCCCCTTCCACATATGGAGGGGCACGGAGAGCATCTCACTGCTGGAGTCCTTGGGTGGATGGAGTCGGTGTGTGCACACGTGTGTTCACGTATGTGCACCCAACCCTGTACGCACCCCATGCGCGCATTGCAGCCTGCGTGTCCTGCACGCGTGGTAAGTGCACCCTGCATGCTCACAACGGCTGCATGCCTGGGGCACACGCAAGTGAGGTACATGTGGGGAAGGGATGGGGGCATCCCGAGGCTTTCTGAGCCGGTTTCGGGGTGCTGCTGGTGCATTCACAACGGGCACCCCCCCTTTTCAGCTCCCCGATGTGCGTGGCCCCATGGGGTTGCAGGGAGGGGGGGTGCTGCTCAAAATCGAGCACAGACTTTGACATTAAACCCGGTTGGGGCTGCACCCCTGCCTTGGGTGTTGGGGACATCCCCAGCACCCGTTATAGCTTGTGCGCAAGGTTGGGCGCGTTTCTGGGCAGAATTAAGGGGTTGCTTTGGGTTAGATGGGGCTTTTATTGCATTAAGGTAAAGGCTACGCGGCTCCGGTGCGCGCAAGTCCCGCTGGGCGCCGCGGGTCCCCTCCCCTGGGACAGCGAGCGCCGAAAATCCCGGTTTTCCATGACGAAAATCCTCCTGGATCGTCCCTTTCCCCTCGCCGCAGCCCGGGATTTGCCTCCCATCAGCAGCTCGCTTAAAGAAACGCATCCGTGGAAGCCGCCTGTTTTCCCTAAATAACGCCCGTGTGGGATCCCTGGTGCTGTGCAAAAGGGATGGGAGCTGTGGGGAAAGGCTGGGTGCCCTCCGACGGCGGAGCCAGCCCTTCCGCAGGCATTCCAGAGGGAATTCCAGGAAAGCCGGCATGAATCTCCCTCTCTTTGCCCTCCACTTTAAAGTTCCATAGAAGAGAAAATAAAGCGGAGCTTTGCGCCCCAAAACTTGCGGTGCGGAGGGGCCGGGCACATCCCCTCCGGCTGCCGGCACCTCGGGAATTGCTGCTTTGGGATGAGAAGGGGGAAAGTGGAAATGATCCCATTTTTTGGAGCATGATGTGGGGGGCGAAGCCGCCGTCCTCGCCCGCGGGTGGTGAAGTGATGCCAGAGCCGCCGGGGCTGGGGTGAGGGCTTACGGGGAAAAGGCTTCGTCTCATCGGGAAGTGTGGATTTGCCAAGAGAGGAGGAACCGAAAGGGATTTGGATCGATTTTTTCCCCCTTTTCCAAACAGCGCTCGGTCCATTCCGAAACTCGCAGATTTGTAGAAATTGGCGGCTTCATTCCCTAAATACAAATAAGAATCAAATCAAAATCTGGGATGCGATGGAAGGGAGATGCCCGGGATGAAGGAGGATCCCTCAGCCTGGCGCTGGTTTCCGTTTTGGGCCATTCACAGTAAATAAATGAAGGGGATGGGGGAAAAAATATGTGTGTAAAATAATCAATCGTGGGAGCTGAGGAATTAATGAGGGATGAGGCAGAGGAATGCGGGGAGCAGCGACCTGGATGGAGCCGGGACAAGCGGTTCAGCCGCCGAGCTGCGGATGCGGCCGTTGGAAAGGGGCTTTTCCCAGTTAAAAAAGAGGGGAAACGGGGAGGAAAAAGGGAAGGAATAAAGACAGAGCCCGCTGCGGATACCTCCGTTCAGGGCTGTTGCGCTGGCCCGGCTCGGAGCGGGACTGACCCGGGCTTGTGGAGCTGCTGCGCCGGAGCCCTCGGGATGGGTTTGTTCACTTTGGGTGTTTTTATCGCTCTTATTCAACCCCAAAGCCGTGTTGAGGGGAAGGAATCGATTCCCGGGTTTCATTTCATTATCGTTACATTAAAGCGGGGAGAAAACGTTATTTATGGGGAATTAAAAACCATCAATCCCAAGCAGGGAAGGAAATTGGAGTCCAACTTGGAGCGAGCGTTATTTACCTTTAATAAAGCGTGATTCGGGCTTGGGGAAGGAGGAAAACAAAGTCATTCCCCCAAATAGAGAGACGGAAGCACAGACCCGGCTGGAAGTTCATAAAATACCCTGGTGGGAGACGCTGCTGAGAGGTAGGTGGGACACCCGTCCCCTGTGGTGCCTTGGTTACTAAATATCAGGGGTGCTTCGCTCCTAATCTGCGCTTATTAAGCGAAAAACAGACCCCCAAAACCCGACGATGCCCATAAAATCACGGTTAATTCCTTATTGCAACGGGGGAACGCGCGATCGAGAGCGAGCGCTGGAAAACCGCCCTCTTAAAGTGGGGGTTTCTATAAATCAAACGCAAAAAGTCCGTAATTCCCCTTAAAATCCTCCTCTCGGTGCCAGGGACGGGGCTGGGAGCGGTCCAAGCCCCCCCCCAAGAGGACGGGGACCCCTTTAGACCAAATTAACGGGGTTTTCCCTGCAGGGCACCTGCTCTGGGTTTTGGGGAGCTCCTCGGGGAGTTTATTTCCAAAAGGAGGGAATTTTATTGTTATTTTTAATTTTAAATGACGGTTTTTGGGGCCACTTTCGGAGCAGGGGCGCGGACGCGCCCCGAGTCCTTTGTGCACCCGCGGCCCCGCCGTTTGCCTTTAAACCCACCCCAACACCCCCAAAACCCCTTTATTTTCCCCTTTTCTATCGCCTCAACCGCACGATTCCCGACCCCAAACCCGCTGCGCTTCGCCTGAGGCTCTCACACCCCCCACACCCCCTCCTTGCGCGCCTGCGGAGCGGGCTTGCTACATTTGCATATATGGTAATGAGCTCTTAATTGCCATCCTTGCTGATCGATTGCGAGCAATAAGCAGGTTAAGCTTGGAAATACGCCCCCCCCCCCCTCCTTCCCCGGCCCCCCCGCGTT